ACACAAGAATCTGACAATCCAGATCTCCGAGACAGAGGATACATTTACTGGCGGTTGTTGTCCACTGATCCGGCAGCCGCAAAAGAAGTTGTTTTGGCCGAGAAACCATTGATTTCAGAAGAGACAGATATGCTCGAACCTACTCTACTGGATGAACTTATTTGTCATCTAGCGAGCTTAGCCAGCGTTTATCACCGTCCACCAAGTTCTTTTGTTGAAGGTAGACATGTAGCTAGACGTCAACTTCCAGCAAGAGTAAATGGAGCTTCTGCTTCATCAACAAATTATGGTGATTTACAGCAACCAGATGTCTCTGCGCCTACAGTTATTCCAACCCAGGTATATTCATATTTCTGTTTCATACACTTTCGAGTGTATTATTAGCTTCATTTCCTTCTAAGAAATAATAGTGATCCCTTGTCAATCAAATCTAGGTACATTTTCAGGAACTATATCTCTTTTTTGTCAGGTACTGTCAGTTACATGACTGATTGTCCAATTAAAGTTCTTATTTGAGAACGTATAAGAGCCTGCTACCATAATAAGGCCTGTCGATAATAAATAGATTCGATATTCATCTGATATTGTTTTTATACTGTTACTATTTCCTCGTATAAAAATCAACCTTTTAAAAACTGCAAATTTAATCAATGATTATCTCAAATCCAATTTTGAAGCATGATTCCATTCTCGTTGACTTGGAGTCTGGTGTACATGGACGTTAGTAGTTAATTATTGTTTTCTTCAGAAATCATGTCATAATACCTGTCAGTTATTTTGTTGTAATGGTATGAGTTATGCCTGATATGTGTATATGCTAGACTTATATCAAAGTAGAAAGTTTCTGGCATCGACTTTCATCTTTTTGCATCACGAATCGGCCATCGAATGGTGACTAGTTTGACTGTCTACCCCAGAATAAGCTTTAACAGCAAATGTAACAATATCTTTTGAAAATCCTTTGATATAAGTATTCAGAGAACCAGAAGATCGTACCCAATTAATAACTGTTAAATGGGAAAAAAACTTAGATTATATTCAATGCTAAGGTATTCTGCTTAATCCATCATCACATATGGATAAGGTTTATTTATCCAAGTAAAAGATAAGCTGTACACTTCAGGCTGCAGTAAATACAAAGTGTAGATACTTTCCCTTACAGTTGTCTTTTTTCCGGATAAATGAGAAGTATGAGTTTAAGTGAAAATCTATCATCAAAAAGATCATGTTAAGTTTTTTCTTTTTTGTAATTCAGGAGACACTGATTGGTGACTTGTTGGATATCGATCTCGGTGGTGGGCCACCTACCTATGATTCAACAGCCATTCATCAATTTGCTCGTCCACCAGTACCAACTACTGGATACGATTCAACAACCCCTGATCTTCTAGGTGATGGCTTAGATGACCTCCTCCCTGGCGTTACTGGGACATATGCAAACGAAGAGCAGAAAAGTCAAACAGCAGGAAGTAAGAAATTTTTTATCAGACGCTTCATTGAAGCTTAGCGTGCATTTATTTCATTTATTTTGGAAACTGTCCAATTTATACTTTGACTGCTGTTTTACATGCTTATCATATCGCATTGTCTTGTCGACTGTGATTATCTTACAACAATTTAGAAGAAAAATTCTTCTATAGCTGCACATGCATGAGACAAAAATTGGAATAATGTCTGTATTCTGAAATCTCTAATATGAACAAATACAAAGAGCGACACAACAGAATCTATATTAATTAAGGTCACGCCGGATACATTTAATAAGGGTGACTCAGCACAACTGTTAACAACCTGGAATATAATTCTGGATACACAAAAATGAAATACATATATGAATACAAATCATAAAAGTGTGAATTAAAAAACAAAACAATTCCAACAGTTGGTGTGATCACGAAATATTACTAAAAACATTAGCTTATCACTGTGTGTAAACTATTGAAATATAATTATAATTTATTTGATCTATTCCACAATGCTCAAACTTTTAACTGACAGTAAACATCTTAACTTAAAATGTTATAAAAATTAATTGTGTACGGCGTTGATTTAACAGAATTAATTTCTAACTGACTGTGTTTTGAATGCTAGATTAAATTAGCTTCTCGATAAATCTCTTTTATTCACTTTTTATAGCGTCTTCGTCTGCCGCTGATGTGTTAGCTGATATCTTCGGAGGAATTAAAATGTCTGATCTTTCCAGTGCTAGTAGTAGTTCTTCCTTCGTGCCTCCTGCAACTGTATGGTTAGAAGCTGCTCGTGGTAAAGGTTTGGAAATTCGCGGTACATTCTCTCGTAAAACAGCTACTGGGCAGGCGACTATGGAGTTAACTTTGCTTAATAATGCACTTACTCCTATGTCTGGATTTGCAATACAGTTTAACAAAAATAGCTTCGGTTTAGTTCCAACTGAAGCATTAAATGTTCCCACTCCTTTAATGCCTCATCAGTCTGTTAACAAGTCTCTTCCTTTAGCAACTACAGGTCCCGTAATGAAGATGGATCCACTTATGAATCTTCAGGTTAGTTTCTTTGATACTTTTTGAATTCGTGAATTTTTTTTCCTTATTGGATAGTTCCTTGTGAATGTAGCAGTACTACTGCGCAACGAATCATCCACTTTTGTTTCAGTCGAAGTTTTTACTTACATTGTGTCATGGTAGACACTGGCACCATTACATTGTAATGGTGCGATATGCAGTTCGCTTTTCTAACGTTCCGTTACAATTTATTGTTTGTCACGCCATTTTATCCAGGTTTTTAAAAACGTATGTTTCCATTCATAGGTACCAGAAACATAAAAATTCATTTTCAATTTGAATTGGTCACTTGGATGTCATTATTGTATTATTTCTCCGTAATACGCTGTAACATTAAAGCATTATTATATGGGAAGATTATTTCTATGAAATAGTACCACTTCTCAAGTAGTTTCCTTGTCAAAAATGTTGAAACGTGTGAATGACTATCAATAACAGATACACAGTGTATAATATGTTATTCGTGCTACATGCGGTAAAATTCTAGCTATGATACGTAAAACGTACTTTTTAGGTACCTTAATTTCAGACTGTTATATCTTGCAAAATATCTCTGTACAATCAAAAGTCCCTTCATTGTTTTATCTGAACTTCTTTATACAGCTTAATTGGATCCATAGCGCATTCACTGATGTAAATATTTCATATTATACCTGGGATTTTGCGGCTTAGATTGCAAATTTTCTGATGGTTTTGTAGCTTCCTGAGCTTTGGTATTTCTAGACAAAACTTTCGTAGTCAGCCTAGCCTTCGTATTTTCTACTGCTTCTGTGTGAATCTCAGGAGTACAAACTTACCAGGAATTCCTGTATTTATAAGAATTGAGTCATCAACTCTGTCATCAATTTATGCTTCACCTTTGTTATATAACAGTCACAATTTACCCATTGTATATGGATTTTAAGTTTGTTCTATGTAGTCGTATTCAATCAATAGTTTTTATGTTCATCTTACTTTCTTGTTCAAAAAATCATTTTCAACAGATTGCTGTCAAAAATAATGTTGACGTATTTTACTTCGCCACTTTGGTTCCAATGCATATTCTGTTTGTTGAAGATGGAGAAATGGATAAACGAGTTTTCTTAGCTACCTGGAAAGATATACCTAGTCAGAATGAACAACAGTTTACCTTAAGTCCAATTAATCTTACTGCTGGTAAGTGTATCTTCGAATAACTTTTGGTTTGGATTAGACACTAACTAGTGTCATATATCTGATCCTTTGTTTACTGCAAACCGAATTCTATCAGTCAGGTATGCTCAGTGGTGATGCCTCTGAATGCAGCACTGGTTGACACGGGTTCGAATCTCACAAGGGGCATGATACGCCTTCCTGACGAGTGCCAGCAAGCACAAAACCTAAGCCCAAGGCTTCCTGCCGATTACATCGAATCATCTACTAACAGCAACTTCTGGTTTTTGTTTATCGATTAACTTGACTTTACTAACAGCTCTGTTTATCAATTGTGTCGCTTATCCTGTCTAGGTCATAATCGATTTTTCTTCTCAAAGGTAAAGTATGTCTTATGCATACATTATCTTGGTTTTAATAATCAGAAATTATCGATTTATTCTTAGTATTCTATTTATACCTAGCGGATTAGATTTATTCGTGTACATAGTTCAAATTGATCGAGTTTTATTTCTGGCAACAATATATCAGGTTGACTTCTATTCTAATTGTATTGATCTCCGTACACCGTAACTTCCTCTAAGCTGAGTTTCGTAGAAGTACAAAAAAGCTTATTATATAATTAAAACAACTTTTCTTTTTAAATTTTCCTCAGTTATAAATAATTTTAAATGACATATTCCATGTGTTATTTCAGATGCATGTAGCAATAAATTACGTCAGAACAATGTATTCACCATAGCTAAACGTAATGTGGATGGTCAAGATATGCTTTATCAGTCTATGAAGCTTACAAATGGTATTTGGGTGTTAGCCGAACTCAAAATCCAGCCTGACAATCCGTCTTTCATTGTAAGATTGTATAAATTATTATTTTTTTTTTCATTCACACTGTTTTAATATGGTCAATTTTTGTGTTAGTTTTATTAATTAGACTTGTTTTTGAGTAAGCTAGTAATCTAAGTGTCATTAGATCTCATTTTGTGTTTCTTCAGAGTTTTTAGAAATACGTGACAGACACTTTCAGGCTGTCATTCAATTTATTGAAGAAACTATCCACTTTTTTGTCCAACAAGTTCATGTTATTTGCCTACTACTGTGCTAAATAATGGGTCTCTGGTAATTAGGTGAATCAATGTGAAGTCAGATGTAGAAGTAGAGACCTTCACAAATATATAAAAATGAAGGCAGTAGGCATCTTTATTAAACACACCATGTATTAACTCAGTGTAGCCTCTTTCGCAAGGACCGTGAACAGTGGTGGGTGACAAAGGCGAAAGAGATGGAAAAAGCATCAGCGATAGGCAACACTAGGCAACTCTTTAGACTCATCAGGGAAACGGGTGGGAGAAGGCAAATCATAAGTGAAACAATCTCGGAGAAAAATAGCACCATAATTAGCTCTCAGGATAGATGCCTTGAACGCTGGAAAGAACACTTTTAGGAACAATTTAACTTGCCTACAGCCACACTGAACCTCCCCGCCATCCAGCACACCCGGACAAGATATAGACACTGGTCCGCCGTCTATAATTGAGGTCACAAAAGCTATCTGTAATTTGAAATGAGGCAAAGCGGCAGGACCCGAAGGAATTATTCCGGAGGTGTTTAAATATAGGGGTGACATACTAGTTTGTAGATTAACTGAGGTACTAGGCAAAGTCTGGGAATCAGAGACGGTTCCATCAAACTTGGGTAAGTCACTTATTATACCGATATTCAAGAAGGGAAACCAGTCCTCGTGTGATAATCATAAGGGGATCAGCCTAATGAACATAGTCTCTAAAATACTAGGCTCAGTAATCATGCACAGACTAAGCAGAACTCGGGAGGAACAAACGAGGGAAAATCAAGCAGGCTTTAGACCAGGTAGAGGGTGCATAGATCATATCTTCACTCTCCGACAGATTCTAGAACATAGACACACTTTTCGTCGTCCAACAATTGCCATATTTCTTGAATTGAAGGCGGCCTTCGACTCCGTGGATCGAAAGGTACTATGGCAATGTCTGACTGTGAAGGGAGTGCCAAGAAAATACATTGCACTAATCAAGGCACTCTATTCAAACTCACGTAGTCGTGTAAGGGCTTATGGGGAATTGTCATCTGAATTGATAACAACCAATGGTGTCCGACAGGGATGTTCACTTTCCCCATTCCTGTTTAACTTCATCATAGATATGCTAATGGAAGTATCCTTAACTGAACGTAACGACTTAGGAATCGACTTGTTACCAGAGAATAGTCTTATGAACTTAGAATATGCAGATGACATAGTCCTGTTAGGGGAAGGTGCTGACAAAATGCAGAGTCTACTGAACACCCTGAGCAGCAATCTTCGTATGTGAAGTGATAGAACGTGTTGACCACTTCACCTATTTGGGAAGTTGTATCAGCACCAATGGACTGATTAGCGACGAAATCTCAGCACGAATCCAAAAAGCTCGAGCTGCTTTCGCTGACTTACACCATCTCTGGCGTAGGCGTGACATCCGGCTATCAACCAAGGGACGTGTGTACTGCTCATCAGTTCGCTCCGTCCTTCTCTATGGCTCTGAAACATGGCCAATACGAGTTGAAGACATGAAAAGGTTGACTGCTTTCGATCATAGATGTCTGCGATCCCTTTCTCACGTTAGGTGGTCTAATAAGGTAAGTAATGCTGACGTTAGGCGTAGTTTTGGGCAAAGAGGCGAAATCAATCGACGAGGCTATAAAATTACATAGAATGAGATGGCTAGGTCACGTGCTGCGCATGCCTAACCATCGCCTCCCCCGACGGGCATTGCTAGCTGATATAGGTGCAGGTTGGAAAAGAGTAAGTAGTGGCCAAACAAAAACATGTCATCAATCCATGAAATCCTTGACAGTTAAACTGAGTCAGGTAGGGAGATGCAGACTTCCGGGTTGGGGCCCTCGGGACTCTAGGAATCAATGGCTGGAGACAATAGGTGACGTGGCTCGAAATCGTTGTCAGTGGCGCAGATGTATTCAGTCTCTATAATCTTTCATATTCCTTTCTATCATTACCCATTCTGTTTCGCTCTTATACCTGTCAAACCCTATTGATTCTCTTCACTCATCTTCTTGTCTACCTTTGTGTGCTATTTGGAACGTGGCAACTCGAACTGCTGCACTTCGGTACCAAGTTCTATGTTGAATCCAGACAGACAGTGTAGCCTCTATGGCAAGTGTTTATGTGTTGGGTCTTCCGGGCGTAGACGTCCGTTTTAATAAAGGATATAATTTCATAAAATATTCCTTTCAGTTGAATTGTATACCATCTTTAGGTCAAACAATACAGCTGACGTCGAAAGCTTGTTGATGTGCCTGTCCCAAAATCAGGCGGAGAGTATATTTGAATAAAGCGAAAATGGAAAAGTCTAACCTTTGGCGACTCAGTGTTCACACTTATTGCAAACAACGTCTTTTGTGATTATTCCTTCTGAAAGGCTATTTAAGTGCTAATAGATGTCATAAAATGATAATCGTCTTCGTGGTGAATTATGAGACGAATCGATTCCTGTTGTTTCTTCCATTGTCACAACTATAGTGTACTTAGTAAGCTAAGTTCTTCATTTTTATCAAACTTAACTCTTCTTGTAGCTGTGTAACATATGCGAAACACAGCCTGTTTAAAAATGTTGAAAATTTTGAAGTTATATCTGTACAAAAACCTCACGGACCACCGTCAATCTCAAGTCGGAATGCACAATTTTTTTAGGACTGACCTTTTCTAACTCTTTTTCTTCAAAACGAGAGGATACCGAGTCCGACTTACTTATCGTCTATGAGAAACGCGTCCGTCAGAAGTAGGATTTCCTCCCACATAACCTGTACCATATTGTGAGCAAATCACACTCTAGAAAAGAATCGTTTGAGTCGGCATAGGATTTTGAAAATTGATCTAGGTTAGTATATGCGAATTGTAGTTATTTTATAAAATTCAGATCAATCCACCAACCTTCCACCAAATGATCTTTGTGTACAAAGAATTCAATCATCTTGATTTACTTGATAACGTAAGTGCATTATCTGAGCATGAAATACTCCTTAGTACTAATAAGTTCTGTCTACGAAGGTTTAACAGCGCTCCTACTATACCGTCCACCATCCAAACTTAGTGAACGTTATCTTGACATTTATTTATGTAAATACTGTTAATAAAAAGGAGAGGGATGTATAATCAAGGCTTAAGCATACAATGATTTCGTCACACGGAAGTTAGAACAGTAGGCTAGTTACAAGATTATCATATTTGAAAATACTCCTTTAATTTTCTAAAGTTTTTCTAACACTAGATTTATCATTCATTTTGTCTTGCTTTCTAAGTACATTTTTATACATGGTAGTCAGGTGATTTTTCTAAAATCTCCGAGGTATACCAATTGATTATAAATATTCTCAGGGATTTTTAACTTTTTCCGGAATTTTGGCTTATAAATATGATAAATTCTGACAATAAGAAAAATCTGAACTGATGACATCGGGGGAGAATATTTCTGCATTAGCGCCGCCTAACTATAAACTTATTTTTTTTCCTTTTTGTTTATTTTTGCAGTTATCTTTGAAATCTCGTACGGTCGATGTTTACCCTGGTGTTCAATTAGCTTTCGATGGGATCTTGAAAAATTGAGCATCGTCATCAACCACCTCCATTATATACACCTACTGATGAACTAGCTTGTTTATCCTTCCTTCTATGAAACATAATTTCACATTTTAAGACAATTATACTCCTCTTTTAAAGCACATAAATTGATTAAATTTTATCAAGTTGGGGAGAGATTTGGTGCACAAATTAACTTAATAATATTTAAAGACAACTAAATTGTACTAGTTGTTGGTGTCGTCGTCGTCAGTTACTTCAGGCTATCCATTCCATTAAATAAAAGTATCCATCCCATTGGATAGATAATTAAATTTGTCTCACTCAATTTTAATACTTATTTCTTTATTTTCACCTGAAATGTGATTCACTTTTACTTCTCTTCTTTTTTTTAACATTTTAACTATGTTATTATCATCACCATATTATCACAATTGTTGTATTTTACTTAATAACTTGCTTTATCTTTTAAATAAAAGGAATACGCACTGAATTGCAGTGTGAGCTAGTTATTGATGATTACTAATATTATACACGTTTTAAATATGTATCTTGTATTTCAAGGAGTTTAGGATAATCTTATCTGATAGTCATGCTCTGTCTGTTATAGACAACCACAGCCAAAACTAGTTAATGACTTACTTCAGTAGGCCTCGATAAATCCCTCTGTTTATGTTGTTCTTACATAAGATCACGTTGGATTACTTGTAGCCAAAAGTAAATAATTCAGACAAATTTAGTATGTCAATCTGAGGAGGTATTATCAGTGACTAAAACTAATGGGTGAATCGGTGGCGTAGCGGTTAGGACTCTCACCGATCATGCACATGGTTCGGGGTTCGATCCCCAGCCGACGCACTCCTTTACCTCGCTAAACCAGTAATAAAGCTGGTGAAGAGGAAAGGTTGGACATGAGGCTGTAAAATAAACACCACTGCTACAGAAACTTCAAGCCAATAACCTGTGAAGCCCTACGTTCCACTGGAGAACGTGAAGGAAGAAAAAAAAAAGATTAATGGAGATAAGTGCCAGGGGTGTATACAGTGCTTCTTAGATAAACATTTGTATGTTGCATAACATGCTGTTGCTCTTAAAGGTACTTCAGCTGTGAGTGTGTAATGTGCTTTCATCCTGAAACTGTATTGTTAATTATTGAATATTTTGTGGAATGGTAAATAGATGCCGAAGTACGTTGTGTTTTATTTTATTTTTATTTTTGGTTACAGCTTGATTCCACACCGTATTTTTGGTACAAGTATGGAATTTTCAGCGTGGATATCGGTAGCCCAAAATTCGCAGGCCAACCATAGATATCAGGTGTGCGTCGGCGTGGGCTCGAACCCCGGACCATGTGCATGATCGGCGAGAGTCCTAACCACTGTGCCACCGACGCACTTTGTCCGTATCACTAGATAAAAAGCTTAATAGCACTAACTAATGTACTTTCTTGTTCAAGACACTAGAATTCAAAATTTATAATTAATAGGAAGACAAAACAGTAAATAACTGAAAATATTGACTGCCACAATTGTAATGGACGCAAATACCTGAAGGAAATCAAATGTTGCCACATCAGATCACTGACAAAACAGCTTAACAGTATATTCTTTTTACTTACAAGTCTTTGATAGGAAATAAATCATGGATAACCTCAGCTGTACCTCCATCGCACTGCTGGTAACTGTATTAATCAACTGTACCAATTTCGCAAAGTAACTGAAATCGCCTGTTGGGAAATAGGTGCTTATTTTACTTTTAGTTACGAGAGTATTATTTTGTTTCCTATAGACTTTTCTAAACTCTTCTAAATTACCATTCGTATTACTTTTGTTATTCAGATTTTAGGATTTGTTGGGATTTTGGATTTATCTCAGTTGTCAGATAGATTGATTAGAGAGATCATTGAAAACCAGGGAGCCACTGACCAGATATTTCGTCCTGTTTTGAGACTGCCCAGCACTGCTCACTTATAACCCCGCCAGGGAATGAACCCGAGACCTTCAGGTTACGAGACCAAACTCGTCGACAATTCAACCGCTTGAGCTGGAACTCAATGACCCCTGAGTCCTAACTTTGTCAATTTGTGACATAACGGTACTCTCACCAATACCTTTGATGAGCATCCACTTCACTTTGACGTGGTGAAGCCCACTGGTCACGACTTCCCAATACAGCTTTAGGACATCCATCCAGTAGTCCATCTATGAGCTGGAGATTGGTATTTAGATTATGGGATTTTGTAGGGAGTTGACAAAGTTAAAATTCGGTTAAATCTCTTCAGACCCCACCCTATTCTAATACATATGACTGTACAAGTAAATATCAAGTACAAACCATCAATGGTGATTTGTCAATTTGGATGATAAGATGACTATAAATTAGTCATAATAATAATGCTATTAATAACAATGATAAATGTTAGGGAGATGTGTTATAATACCAGTGGATATACGCGTATATATTTAAACAGAAGTAGCAGTTGGTTTAGGAGACGAATAATAAGACTACGTAGTGCTTAACCGTAAGGGAAGTGGACAAACCGAGCGCTAGTGAAAAATGCGATAAGAGTTGGCAAAAAATGGTAAAACGAGGATTAAAACTATGTAAGAAGTAATTAGGCCAAGAGAGGTATAATAAATAAATATACGTACATGTCGTTTAAGATGAGATCAATAGCTGACAGCCTCAGCTATGTGCAGTAGTCAAATACAAAGATCATTAACAGGATGCTATCAGACACCTTGAATACTTCCATCTGTCCACAAAGTGGCTGTTATCAACCAGAATTGAGCTTTAAGTAGTTTTTGCCTGTCCTTTACCTGGCTGCAATGGAAAATGCTGTGTACACGTCAATTTAGTTAATCTGTCTACTTGTACACCTGACAACACTGTCTCCACAGAAACAGTTGAATTGATAAATACACAGTGAAGTGGCAAAAACTACCTGGTTTGAGTCATAACCAATTGCCAACTAGAAAATAGTAGACGAAGGATTGCTGTATAAAATATCCTACGTATAGTTCTTGTCATTCTCTAACAAAATTTCCCCATTAACTTGCAACCTAATAAATAATAGTTTCTTAAGCACTGTCATCCTTTCACAGAGTTCTAGCTAGTTTCTTTAAAGGATTCCGTATGAAACCACATAGGACTCCCATGTCTACGAAAGAATTATGAATGTAGTCCAACTCCTCTTGTAAATAATCTTCCAAATAACTGGTTTTTGCTCTGCTTGTAAAACGTTTAAGTTTTCTTCTAATGTTCAACAGGTATGTAGTTAAGGATGTGTATGTGTTGCCACGTGAGTGTATTCTCGTCTAATTAGTAGAACATCAAAGAAGTTTTGTGTGTTCTTATGCTCTTCAGGTTTATTATAATTGATGATAAGTGTTTATTGACTTGACGGTAATACATACCCAGTTCACTGACAACATCTTTCAATGATCCATTTTCAAGTTTCACCAGAAAAGAAGTTTGTTAGAACAGGGTCTAATAGTGAGTATATGATGATTCCGTCTGTTTATCTATAGTCTGTATTATTGATGACAAAATATACATTTAGTAAGTGAAACTTGACAAGATCAACTGGTTTGCAATTTCGCCTTAACTTATATTCTCTCTTTATCAATAGGCTGACTGAATCGGAAACGTAAGTCTCTGTCGCAGTGCTACGATTAATCGATACTTCCCCATCAGTTATTTACACGGTAAATGTGAACGAAACCGTCAATAAGTGAGACAAACTTCAAACTGGATCAGTGATTTATTGGATTATTGACCTAGTCGCTAGCTCTAAATCCGAACTTTAGTGGTCATTAATTAATCTTATCTTTCCATACCAGTTTGTCTTGAACATCCACTAAATGTATATTTCTGTTTTCTAGGAATCAGAAAGATGAAGACTGCAGATCACAATTATTTGAATAAAGCAAGAACAATAGTGTTTGCAGAAGAAAATATGGTACCGTCATTTATTTCTTTGGCTTTTCATCAGCTGCTTACAGTCCAAAGTCATTATTATGTATATCTACGGAAACAATTTTAACATACTTGCACAGAGTTCATTTTTAAACAAAAATCAATCAATATATGCTTACAGTAAAAATATAAATAGATATATTTAATTATGACTTTAGCCTGTATGCAACTGATGAGAAGCCAACGAAATAAATCACGGTACCATTTTGTTGTGCAAAAACTGTTTTTCTTGCTTTACTCAAATTCATTAAGGGGAATAAATTTATGAGATCACAAGTATACTCAAAGCATTCTTACATTCCAGTAGAGTCATCCTCACGTCACTATTGGGGATCAACACACATTTTTATACGAAAGTGCATTGATGGGCGCATGCTTACGAAGTCGCGTCGATGGTAAAATGCTTAGCAACCACCACACTAGAGATCCTTGTTTGATTTCTGGCTGACTCACTCCCAAGCCTTGCCTGCTTCACTAGCAAGCCCAGAGGAGACGGAAGGCTGACTGAGCATGAGACTACCAGTCTTACCCCCTTTAAAAGACAACACTACTATTAAAATTTCAAAGCTTGAAGCCCTATGCTGCATTCGGGAAGCAAAGAGTTAAAAACAAACTTACGAAACTGGACCACCTGATTTGTCCCACCTAAGCAAGCGCCGAACAAGTCAAACCACCTTTTGGATATAAATACATTAGTTATTTGTGGGTTGGTGGAAATGAAGATGTGTGGGAGCAGTTTCAAGTTTTAGAAATTATTAGCTAGTAGTTATGAGATCAAGAACATAGCTCATTCTTCACTTTTCAAAGTAATTTTTTCTCGATCATACCTATATTGAACATTATTTAATCGCTACTTCTATAGAAATTCGGCAAACTCAGAAGGCAGCAAGATGACAGTACTGTGATGTGTACTACTTGTAAGTAGTTTACCGGGTAACGTCTAACAGAGATTTAATTATAGTTTGTATCAGTGCTAAAAGCAAGTGAATAAGACACACGAGAAGAAAGGTGTATGTTATCTTAATTACTACTGAAATGTCTTTGGAATTTGCGAAGCATATGCTAATTTCGAATTTAATTTTATTCCTGGCGGTAGTTTATCTTCAGCATCGCATTTAAAATTCCTTTAAACACTTCAATCAAACAACCAGGGGAAATTCATTTACAGGCCCTGTCAATCCACCTTTGTTTTGAATATTTTGATTTGACGAAAACTGTATTATTAATAGAGATTTAACATTTTATATGAATATTAATAAATAAATATTTGGTTATAACTCATTAGGGCAACAGTAAGCTAGAGAGCGTTTCTAACGAAATCCTACCACTTTTCCGACCGACTCTGATTATATGCAACATAAGTGTATTATTTTTTTTCAAACTATTAGATGACAAACACCATTTATTAAATCTTTTTTGTGAATTTTATTTGTTCGGTGTTGGCTAGCAGTGGAATTCAGGACTCGTGTGTTCCACTCCTATAAGGAGGCCCGTCAGCTGGATATGCCACTATTCCAGTGAGTGATGGGTTATCCGCATGTATAAGTATATTTAATCCTTAAGCATAAGCTACTTCTGATTTTATCGTGGTTAGCTGAAAGAAAAGTAGTTAGAGATAATTACTGTAAGAATGCTTAGATTGTAATACTGTCATGAAATTAGTTAATCTTACCATTGACTAACTCATTGACACTAAATATTCAAATCAGATTGGCAATTTTCGAATAATTAATGAATCATGATCACAATACGCGATATACCTAATTCCATAAATGCTAAATCAAGAAAACGAGCATCAGTGCATAGTGGTAGGTAGTGCGAAGTTAGGTACTCTGAACGGAGTCGGACTAGGCACACACACAGCTGGTGAGCTCGACTCCAAACGAGCGAAACATCTGTCAAGTGTTTGGATTACTTTGATTTGGCCAGTAAGCGGTACTGGTGGATGTGTGTGTGGTATCCAACTACTCATATCAGGCAATCAGTAGTATATGGTGCCTTGCATTTTTTACTCTTAATATTTTTTATCGTCTTGTTGATGTTCACTATTATCATGAAATGCCTGTAGTATGTTCTTTGCAATAGAATCAATTTTATATTGAAATTTTTCACTGGAAGAAATCGCTAATCTACCAATGGGTTCAACAATGCGATCATTAAATGACAACACTAGAATATCAGTTTTATATTTCAGAAATCAATCAATAATAGGTTCCACCATTTATACTTGTATAGACGTATCTAATATTACATTAAATGTAATAAATTACAAGAACTAGGTTATGAACAAAAAGTAGGCTGAAGTGATCAAAAGCGGAATACTTTGGGGATATTGTCGAAGCAGATGATAAACACTTCACTTTTGAATCATTCACAATACGATAATAGCCATTGAATATTGATTTTATAGAATGGCTTTAGTGTCACTAATATACTGTTTTCTAGTGTTAAGGTTCCCCATAAATAATATCCAGCATCGATTTGCAAGGACTCGGTTATTTTCAGGTTAGTCCACGGATCGATATCAATTAGAGAATCATTGAAAAAATCAGGAACTACTGAACAGTTGCTTCGTCCTACTTTGGGGCTCTTCAGTACTACATACCCATCACTCCAGCGAGGATCGACCCCAAGACCTTCAAGTTAACAAGACTAACCCGTTGGCCATTCACTCGCTGGGATGGAATCTAAAGGCTCGTAAATTCTTACTTCTGCCATCCAATCTCATCGGCGATCATTTGACCTGGTGGACCTCACGACTTTCTACTAAAACTCCAAGCTACTTCAACATGTAGTCACTAACTAGTGAGTTTCAGATTAATTTTCAAGCGTTAGTTTGTAGGTATTTTATTTGCTTCAGCTTCGATCACTGATTCACTTCATTATTATAAACTAAGAAGAAACACCTGTCCAGTACTCCCTGGTTGTCGATGGTCCTCGAATTGATGTTAATCTTACATAACTGTAAAATGATGTTCCATTATTGCATGTTAGAGGTCTGACAGTTGTGTCTGACTTCATAGCTACGGACATTTATCAAGACAAAACTTGCTTACAAGTTTATGCAAATGTTTATTCCCTAAAATAATCCAACTAGCATTACTCTCAGTATTGAATTAGAAAGTAACTACCCGTAGGTTGTTCATATTGTAACGACAAGACAACAGATTGTTTGTTGAAAAAATCAAGAGATATTTATGCATTTTTATCTACATTGTTGTCAGCGGAGAAGCAACCTCTTCTGATTGGTTGTTCTCTTGCTGAAGGTTATTCTCTACTGCTTGTGACCGTTTCTCAGAAAGTTAAGCCACACGTCTGCAAATCGTATTTGCACACGTTAACCCCGCTGTGATTGGTTGGTGAGTAGTTCCTCAAGGTTATGCTTTTGTAATCGTTTTTCTCGTGACCCTGATTTCGGACGTAACACTAACGTAAATTATTGAGTTCGGAGCCAGTTCTCACCACATCGTACTACCTTCCTGTAAAAGTGGACGATGTAGATGAATAATACTCAGACGATATCAACTTATCTAGTCGTCAATACCTAATCAATGTTATTCATATTGTTAATTTATACTTCATTTTATTGTATTTCTACTTAGATTAGTGTTTTTGACTTTATGCTAAATACTGCGCTGAAGATGTCGTCCAGAAAGACGACGAAAGCTCCGTAACTAAACCAACCAACTCAGAGAACACTATTAATTGCAAAAGTGTTCGGATAGATATAAAATAAACTCAAATACACTGGCAATGAAAATGTTTTTTTCTTATTTTCTAATATTTATTTAATAAATAAATTCCCTGATACAGATTAATTTTTTCAAGATTGAAAAAGAAAAGAGAGACAGAGATTTATGATAATTCAACAGATAGAAGGGAATAAAGCCAGTCAGATAAATATTTTATAATAATAGTAACAATAATAATAATAATAACAGTAATATAAACCCAGGAGGGAACAAATTTAAACAATACGTAGTAGGAAAGGCGGGAAAAAAAGATGAAGATTTAAACAACAAAAAAACCTTGAAATACAATGATAATTGGCTAAGTTTGGGATTCTTTTCTTTTTTGTCACAATGTGAGCACGTGTATGCGTACGCGTACTTCGAAACCTGCTACTGGTCTCTTCATCCATCGATATATTTCTTTCAGAAAAGAAAATTGGGCCAGGGGGGGAGGGGACAGGGGAATTCAAGGGAAACAATAAACATAAAGTCACTGTTGTTTTGTTTTGAAGTTAAACTGCTTCGTCTCAACACACAACATGTTTACACTTTATCAGTAATAAGCTGCCATTTTCTAACAAATATACCACACCGGGTTTTTGTTGTGTTTTTTTTTTACTGGTCTTTTCAAAACATTATGTCCATTCGTCCGTCCACCTGCATGGCACACGCTCACGAGTAAGGTAGTAAGTAGTACATGGTGCTATTAAGGAGTAAATTACTCAAAAACCTGAGTTTATTTAAGGGTAAAGGGAATGGGGATAAATTGCACAGTGTTTTAATTTATCTTTTTTTAATTATTATTACTATTATTAATAATAGTAGTAATGTTATTCAATTCTCAGTTTATTCATTCATTGTAATGAACGCAAAGTCTCTCATATTGATTTTTTGCCATAATGATAATCATCACCATTATTATTAGTAGTAGTAGTAGTAAAGGTAGTAATAGTACCATTATCGATAAGTGATTCTGATTCATCCAGGTGAAGAATTTGAACATACAAATCAGGAAATGGTATGGGATTATTTTCTTTTTTAAGTATTCTCAACACATTTTGGTGTTCCTTATTCATTTTATCTAAATTTGTTAGAATAGCCAAAATTTTATAGAAGCGTATATCTGTACTGTATTGATCTATAGAAATTTTTTGTGACAAGAAAACAGAAAGACAGGAAAGAGAGAAGAAAGAAGATTAAAAAAAATAGGGAAACTAGTCAAAAGTGAATGATTAATATTATAACTATTATTTAATAAAAAATAAATCTTATATCTTTTCGTACTACTTTATTGATTTTAGGGTGGAACTGTGGCCAAGTGGTCTAGCCAGTTCTGCTTCTTACCATTAGTTTGATCGATTTGAACCCTGCTCCATTTATCGAGGCTTTGTCAGCCGAGTAGTGTCATTAGCTGTCATTTATTATTTAGCCAAACTCATTGCCAAATACATGAAGGTGGATTGGTTGTTCAGTAACATTTTAATTGATTTTATTGATGATGGGTATTGTTAAAATGAGTTACTTCACTCTAGTTCTTAAGTTTCTTTGATTAGAGTCTGACCCCAAATAGAAGATTATTGGTTGTTATCCATAGCTAATTTGAAATACACACACACAAACACAGTGAATAAACTAGACTATTTGGACCTCGTGGATAATTTATGCCTCGTGTCTTAAAAATGCGAAGACCTACAGGCGAAATCCGACAAGTTGACAGAAGAGACAGCCAAGATTGAAATTCAGGTGAACATAGAGAAGACAGAGGTGATGAAGATATCTAACCACCATCAACAAGAGAAATCCAAAGTAAGTCATCCTCGTCACTTACCTCACCGGCATTCTACCACCAACTATAGGCAGTGACACATACGAGGATTTCAAGGCCAGGCAGGTTCTTTCTGGTTCAGAAACCCAAAGAACGAGTAATAACACATAATGATAATAATACTGGACTTCTAATCAGTGAATTAGTGATTCTTGCCTCAACTTGCCTAATGAAATCTAAGCAACCATCTGGGTAGATATTATGATTAGTACAAATATGGTAGATATGCTTAGTGCACAAGCTAAGGGCCTGTATAATGTGAGGCTGGTGAGGTCGGATAAGTTAAATCATTTAAGGCTTGTAGTGAACTGATAGTCTCATTTAATGACTGCATTACATGTGTAGCTTATTGGTTCAGATACTGCACTTTCAGCCATACTTGAGGTGACACTGAGCGCAAAATGAGTTCCGCGTGCAGCACATAAAATGGATGCTGACCCAGACAATTCAAAACCGCACTTTATATATGATTATTTCTGATCAAAGCTTAGTTTAGAGAAAGTGAAACTTATGAATTTAGAATCTAAACACAACATAACTTCCCCTCTTCTAACATATAACACTGATAATAGTAGTAGTAATAGTAATAATAATAATAATAACACTAATGAAAGATATTAATATTTTTCTTTACTTGTTTCATATTCTTTGAATACATGAAGTACTTCTTGGTAGGCTTCATCCGCCTTTGACGGTTCAATTAACAATCTTCTATCTGTGAGTTGGAAATATTATTTTAAAATAATAATTATATCAGAAGAAAAATACAGAAAATACCAGTATAATGTTACTGAGTAATATTAAGGGGGAGGGCGAAAAAATTTTTCTTCAAAAGCAATGATATTACCCTTCTGTGATGAGTGGTAATCAGTATGAAATCTAGGTTGAGTTCTCTTCCCCAAATGACTCCTAGTATTCAGCACTGAATTACAAATGACGACAGCTAGACGACATATTCAAAGGGTGAGAAAGGCTATTGCTTGAAAAATCGTATTCTTTTATACTATCTATGTGTGCGTCGGTTGCATAGCGGTTAGGACGCTCGCCGACCATGCGCACGGTCCAAGGTTCGATCCCCGGCCGCCAACGCACTCCTTTACCTCGCTAAGCCAGAAATAATCCTGGTAAAGAGGAAAGGCTGGGCATGAGGCCAGCAACCCCATCCTGTATAGTAAACACTGGTACAGAAACTCCAAGCCACTAGCTTGAAGCCCTATGTTCCACTGGGGAATGTGAAGGAAAAAAACTATCCATATTTCTCTAATATGTGCAATAAACAATTTTGTTTTCAGCTTAAAAATAGATGTGATAGATGAATTTTGAATTTTTCGTGCAAATATATGGAAGAAAATCAAGAGAAAAAGTTTTCTCCCATCTGTCCAACAGGTTTTTTCTTTACTGTATCTGGTATAACCTAATATCTGTTAGGTGGTCAGAGGAAATCGGTATAAAGTCCTTAACTTAGTTTCCGTGCTTTTTAGCACTCCTCAGCATAGCGTGTCTGTGAATCTTCAAGGAACTGGTGCCCCCTTCTAGGAAACTCGGACTTATGGTACAGTCAGACATGTTATCACTAAGCTATCCAGGACTGTAATGTTTGTATTGATTGGTTACTGGGGTGTAAACAGTGTATTATGCCTAATATACTTGAGTATTTCTTTGTAGATTTCTCCATGAACTCGCATTAGTTAAAGAATCATTGAAAGCTGTTCCGTTCTAGCTTGGGGCTCTTCATCAGTGGGCACCCACGACCCCAACTGCGATAGAATCCGCGACTTTTAAGTTGAGAGACTAACTCATCGACCATTCCTCAGCTACTGACTCGGATTTCAATGACCAGTGAATTCTAATCTCTCTCAATTTATGATATAGAACTATCGTCAACCATTGTTATCGATGTACACCCATAATCTGAATATCAATCTCTCACTCATTATTGGCTGCTCAAGTTAAAATGCAAGTTGCGGTCAATGATGTCCATCCTTTATCAGGATGAAGCGAATGCTCATCGATGGCCCTGGTTGACGGTAGATCTATATCACAGACTGACAAAAGTTAAAACCCGCAGGTCCCTGTATTCCAACCCGGTCAATAACCTGACCTCGTGACTTGGAGGTCTCAGTATCGAACCCTGGTGGGGTCGTGGGTGCCCATTGCTGAAGAGTCCCAAGTTAGGGCAGAACCTCTGTTCACTCCTCACTGATTTTCAGTGATCCTTCAACTATTGTTTTGTCGCCAAATCTACACTGAAATTAATTCAAATCCCTACAGAACTCATTATCTGAATATTTAGAACAGTTATAATGTTACAAGCTAAGAGTACTATAAGAGTAATAGCTTTACATGCGATTATACACACCTGCTGAAAGCATTTCAAAAATAGTCTGCGGTAGAACCTCACCAGATACTAGCTTGCTAGGCCACTAGCTTACTAGTTTTCTCGCCGGTCCCAAGCCCGGGTAAAGAGGGAGGGTTGGGGCGTGGTGCTAGCAACTCCACCCCTGTAAAACAACCAAATCGCTACAGAAACTTCAACGAATAAATATATTAAAAATTCTAAAAACATAAGCAATAGCCTTACTTTTCGCTGGAATCGGGGAAGTGAAATGACGCAGGCTGGTGAAAGCCTTCGGGAAGCCAGTCAGCCGATGTGCCTTCTTTCGATGAAAGCAAAAGTAAGGATGGGTACCTGGAATGTTCGTACAATGTACGAAACTGGAAAGGCTGCCCAGATAGCCGCTGAAATGAGAAGGTACAGAATAGAAGTGTTGGGAATCTGCGAAAGCAGAGGAATGGAACGGAACTGGAAGGTGCCAACTACCTACTGGAGAGACAGTAATCTATTCCGGCCACCCAGAGGACAACCACGAGCACACCGAGGGAGTGGCCATCATGATGTCACCAACAGCAACCAAAGCTCTCATGCAGTGGGAACCAATCTCCTCCAGGATAATGACAGCCAGGTTCAACTCAAAAGGAAGGAAAGTTACAGTCATTCAATGCTATGCGCCTACAAACGTCTCAGAACAAGAGAAGAAGGAGGCGTTCTACAGACAACTACAAGCAATAATGGACAACGTCCCAAATGGCGATATCAAAATCCTGATGGGCGACATGAATGCGAAGCTGGGAGGAGACAACACAGGAAGAGAACTCACCATGGGTCGTGAGGCCCTCGGCGAAATGAACGACAATGGTGAACTCTTCTCAGACTTCTGCGCCTTCAATGATTTGGTGATTGGTGGTAGTGTGTTCAAACACAAGGATATACACAAGACGACATGGATTTCACCAGATGGAAACACCAAGAATCAAATAGACTTCATCTCAATTTCAAGAAAGTGGAGACGGAGCCTACTGGACACAAGGTCAAGGAGAGGAGCAGATGTGGGTTCAGACCACTATCTAGTACAAGGGACTTTCAAGGTGAAACTAAAAGCCTCGAGGATAGCTGGGGATAGGCCACAATGCAAGTTCAACACTCAAACTGAAGGACACAACCACAAAAGACACTTTCACTGCAACTGTCAGAGCAAAGCAGGAAACACTACGCGACATCACTGAAGAATCATGCGTGGAAGAACATTGGAAGTCTCTGAAGGCGATTCTCAACGAAACGTGTTCAACGGTTCTAGGAAGAAAGAAGAGACAAGACAAGGAATGGCTCTCAACGGACACTTGGAAATTAATAGAAGAGAGGAGAATGGTGAAAGAGAAAATGATTCAATGCAAGGACGGACAGGAGAAGGAGACGCTGAGCTCAACTTACACAGCACTGGACAAAGAAGTGAAGAAGAGTGCTAGGAAGGACAAAAGACGATTCTACGACAACCTGCCACTGAAGCTGAGAAGGCAGCAGGCAAAAGGGACCTGAGGACACTATATCAGATAACCAAATCTCTATCCGGGAAGAGATCAACACAAGCGAAACCTATAAAAGACAGCCAAGGGAACCCATTACCAAGGAAGAAAAACAGATTAAACAATGGGCGGATCACTTCAAAGGACTCTTGAACCGACCATCACCTGCAACCCGTCCAGAAATACCAACAACAGCGCGCACACAACTGCAAGTTGACACCAATCCTCCAACGAGAGCTGAAGTCTTGAACGCAATCAAACTTCTGAAAGCTGGAAAAACAGCCGGACCAGATGGAATAACCCCTGAAGCACTGAAAGCGACCCAGAGACGACAGCAGACATGCTGACTCCATTATTGCAAAAGGTCTGGAAGGAGGGAAAGGTGCCTACTGACTGGAGGAAAGGTTACCTCGTGAAACTACCAAAGAAGGGCGACTTAGGACTCTGCAAGAACTGGCGAGGAATCATGCTCCTATCGACGCCAAGTAAAATCCTGAGTCGCATCATCCTGGAGAGATTAAAGGACGCACTGGAGACAGAACTCCGACCAGAACAAGCTGGATTCAGGAAAGGCAAATCATGTACTGACCAAATTGCAACTCTACGCATCATCATCACAGAACAAAGCATGGAATGGCAATCAAACCTCTACCTCAACTTTATAGACTTTGAGAAGGCCTTCGACAGCGTTGATCGTGAAGTAATTTGGAAATTACTCGAGTACTATGGCGTACCCCAAATATTCATCAACCTTATTCAACAGCTGTACGACAACGGCACATGTCAAGTGATCCACAACGGAAAACTCAGCGAGGCGTTTGGAGTAAACACAGGAGTCAGACAAGGGTGCTTATTATCACCAATGATATTCCTAATTGTGGTGGACTGACTGGATTATGCGTCAGACAGTGGGAAACGAGAAGACAGGGATATCCTGGACCGACGTGAAGAACCTAGAAGACCTGGATTTCGCGCGTGGATGATTTATGTTTGATGTCACACACAAATCGAAGACTTACAAGCGAAAACCGACAAACTGGTCGAAGAAGCAGGAGTGAAGACAGGACTCCAGGTGAACATAGACAAGACGGAGGTTATGAAAATAACCAACCAACCAACAGCAACATCCAGCACCAATCACCATCAACGGGAGGGATTTGAAAGAGGTTACTTCATTCACTTATCTAGGGAGCATTGTCTCAACTACAGGAGGAACGGACGAGGATGTCAAATCGAGCGAGAATCGGGAAGGCGAGAAACACATTCATCAACCTGAAATCAATCTGGAAATCTTCGTCACTCAGCATCACCAACAAAATTCGGATTTTCAATACAAACGTAAAGTCAGTCAGTTCTTCTATACGGATCAGAAACTTGGGCGGGTCACAAAGAATATTTCCAAAAGGCTGCAGACCTTTATTAACAACTGTCTTCGCTCTATACTGAAGATCAGATGGCCGGAAAGAATCACCAACAAGGAATTATGGGAACAAACAAAGCAAGAACCAATCGCCCAACAAATATGCAGGAGAAAGTGGAGATGGATCGGACACTCGCTGAGGAGACCGCTGGGTGACATCGCGCGTCAAGCCCTCGAGTGGAACCCGAAAGGGAAGCGGCGTGTGGGACGTCCAAGGGTGACATGGAGGAGATCGTGTGAGGAGTTGAAAGAATATGGACTAACATGGATGCAGGCGAAAAGTACAGCAGAAGGAAAACGGAAGCGGCAAGTGGAGACGATCAGTTGAAGCCCTATGTTCCACTAGGAACCCAAGGGAGCGATAATAATAATAGAATTAAAAAAAGTGATCTGCATGAATTCTCCATGCCTATCTTATATCTCTTTCTAAATCCTAATAGTGACAAAATGTAACCGTTTACATTTCATAGTTGAGAAAAATGTTTTTAGCGCATTTATTAATTAGAAAAGTTAGTTAAAAGATTTACAGGGAGCGGATAAACTTCATAGTACTTTACATTGTAAATCAGTTTCGGCTTTAAAAAGTCCACTGAAAACAAACAGCCACCAGAGAAGTACTTCTTTCTGGTATTAGGAGTGATTAGTGTTTGTGCACCCACAATCTCATTCAGAATCAATCCCAGGTTCTCATAATTAACATGTAGGGGTTCAATTCCATTTACTTCGAACTTCTTACAGTTTGTGAGAGACTAGTAGGTACTTGCACAAAAGATAAATCATAAGCTGTTAGGGTAAGTTACTTGACACATGGGTTCATTGCTGGATTTTCAACTGTTTTGTGACTAGTGGTGTTTTTTGATACACACAAATTACTATAACCTCAGACAGTAGGAAAGAACCCTTGAAAATCATGGAGTACTGGTTAATTGTTTACGTCGGTGGCACAGCGGTAGAAAGCTCGCCAACCACGAGGGTGGTCCGGGGTTCGGCCGACGCACTCCTGTACCTCGCTAAGCCAGTAATAAGACTGGTAAAGCGGGAAGGCTGAGCATGAGGCTAGCAACTTCATCCGGTAAAAATAAACACCACTGCCACCGAAACCCCAAGTCTGTACTTCGAAGTCCTATGTTCCACTTGGAAGGTAAGGGAATAAAAGAACTGGATAACTATCTCATCCTAGTTTGGGACTCTTCATCAGTAGACACCCACTGGAGTTCGAAAAGCAGGACCTTCCTTTTGCAGTGAAAGCTTGTAGACCATTCAGCTACGAGGTTGTGATTCAATGACCTCTGAGTTTTAGCTTCTACCAATTCATGTGTGATTTTAGCACAACCACCAGGTGTTGTCATCGGAAAAGATACATAAGTAAGAATTGAATATCATCTTACCTGCTTGAAATAATTCCATACAACACAATAAACCTATTTCTGTTTCATTTAATTCTAATGGTTCCAGAAGTTTTTCTGTTATATGAATTTGTTCAATTAAAATTTTTAATATTGACAATTGACTGAAATTTGTTTCATTATCATTATTTAAGGCAAAATAAGTATATTCTTTTGTTTTAATATTAAAATCCTGAGATAGTTGAATTAATATAATTGGATAAATGCTTTGTTGTAGTAATACTTTCGCATCGAATTCCGAAAGCTGACGAAAACATGGAATTGATTGGGCAAAATGTATAATTTCATAAATATGATTTTCAAAATATTTCATCATATTTAACCAGAGAATGTCAACGCTTTGTTTAGTTTCATGTGTTGTCAAGTTGAAATTTTGTGATATCTATATTAATAGAATGGGAAAGAAATCGAAATATACATATATATATAAACAAAGCTGTATATGAATTCAAAATATCACTACTGAAATCAACCTTTCAATAGTAATATAATAAAGTTTTCTTGTATAGCGATTCTCATGGGGTAATTTTGCATAGATTTGACCCAGTGGCTTTTAACCAGTCTGTCCTAATTTCAAATCCTGCCAGAGTTCCTGCAGTCTTTTGCTGATTGGATAGTATCAATTAGTCTTCAGCTAATAAATATAGCTAACAGAAATCACTTTGCTCAAAATATACTTTATGTATCCATAATGGAGTTTTGTGTATACCAAGTTAACTAAACTGTAACATGTGGTAATATTATGTTGGTTGCGTCAGTGGTTCGGAGGTGGAATGGTCCACAACTATGCACGTGGTTCAGGGTTCGAACCCCGACCGGCACACTCCTAAACCCTTGCTTAGCGGGTAGTAAGCCTGGCAAACAGAGTAGGCTGAAAGTGGGACTGGTAACCCCACCACGTAGAAGTTAACACCACTGCTACTGAAACTTCAGAGCTCAGACTTGAAGCCCCGTGTTCCACTGGGAATCCACACTAATGAAATAAATAATAATGCTAATTACTAGATACATTAATATCTTCATAATAATGATCGTTCTTAAACTATTATATAATGACTAGTGACCTGCTTAAATCTTTGGCTACCAAAACCTTCCATCTCTCTATTGCATATATTTTCTCTCCTTCGGTTTGTTTTAATCCATTAAGATATGACCTCTAATGGTGTGGTGAGAGCTGTCTGTTAGCCAAAATTGTAGACAACAATTTGCGTCCCACATCCGGGTCATGAGAAAAACCATAACAAAGCTTAACCTTGATGAACTCACCGACCAATCAACGCAAATACGATTCGCAGATATATGACCGGGCTTTCTAATAAACAGCCCCAAACAGATGACAGAATAACCTTCAACAGGAAAACAACCAATCAGAAGACATTGCTTCTCTGCTAACAATAACGAATAATAATGTACATAAAAGTCTATAAATATCTATTCATTTTCTCAGTAAACGATCTGTTGCCTGGCCCTTGTCTTCTGTTGTCACAATGGTATTATCTAATCTTGTGTGTATTTACTAGCATGTTTACAAGCTCCTGCTTCGTAAGTTCCTACTAAACTTGAGAAAAGGCCTGATTGTGGATGGCAATGTGTTCCATCTAATACATGAGGTAAGTGTTCTTTAGTTATTTCCTTGGGTCCCAAAATGTACTTTGGAACATCTTACAATTGGCTTCCAACTAGATTTCGTGGATTTCTTGAAGGACATAAAGTAGATATATCACATAATGGAATGGATATACTGTCAGTTAATACTTTACTTGAAGATGTGTACGAAGAGAAAATATCATGCAATAAACTCCTCTGAAAATTTTGTACATTTTATAAATACTGTCCAGAATAAAGATATTTTTATTAGAACAGTAATCCTCTCTTATTATTTCTTTGAGTTCTGAGTGGAGCATAGGACTTCGGCAGCTCATGGTCATTCCACTCAACGAACTGCCATCACTTTCAGCTGGCTTCACGACTAACCTTTAGCTTTCATCTCCTCCTGCTCACATGAATTACTTTATACCCCCCTCAGACGCCCAACTCATCGCTTCTCATTCGGGTCCCACTCGAGTGCCTAGAGCATGATGTCACTCAATGGTCTTCTCAGTGTATACCCAGTCCATCTCTATTCGCTTCTGCATATTTGTTGGGTAGTATGCTCTTGGTTGATTTACTAGCTTTCGCAGTTTTTCGCTGCTCATCCTTTCTAACCTACCATCTGATCTTTACTATTGAATAAACCAGGTGTTAATTAAAGTCTGTAACAGAGTGTTAGAAATGCTTTTGGTGACTCACGTGTCAATTCTTCGAAACATACAGAGACACTGACTCCACATTAGTATTGAAAATCCGCAACTTTTTTTTCTTATTCAGTACAACAGATTTCCTCAACTGACTTCAGAGTAATGAACATTCATGTTGCTTTCCCGATTCTGCCTGCATCTGAATTCCTCATCTATCCTGCCTATAGTTGAAACGATACTGCTTAGGTCAGATATAAGTGAAAGAGGTGACTTCTGCCTTTAGTCCTAACTAATAAATTAGATCAGTGAATCATTAACAAAGATAATAAGTGTTTTTATGCGTCTCGAAACAGGTCGATAGGAAGGTCTAGAACTAGGTCTCCTATTTTATTGGTACTTGCCATCAAGACATATCTTTAACTCTGAGGCAAATAATGGGCAAGAATAATCTAATGACTAATGATTTATAAATTCGGCTTACAGGAAATAAAGTAACTCTGGCATTCAGTGTCATCGGTGAATTAATATCAGCTCATTTCATATCCACAAGATTTTACATAGGAATCTGTAACTATAAGAATTCACCAGCTTGGTTATGAAGACATTTACTCATAGATTATGTTGAATGGTGATAGCAATAAATAGTGGTATGTCAGATCACAGACCATCAGATTCCGACTGATTGTCACAGTTCTAACTTGCTATCCAAGAGGTTTGAACGCCTTAGGTTGGGCGATAAAAGTACTGGTGATCAGTCTCACATCAGGAAGAAATAACTATCCAATTTTTCCTGAGATAGCAGCAATGATAACTTTTATTTCAACGGCTATATTGTAAAACATTCATTCAGTCTATTTTCGCGAAAAACCATTTTTATTTATTCTTTACTTCTGTTTCCTGTTAAGCTCTGATTTATTAAACCACATACAAGTAATTGTTTTGTAGAGAATTTTGTTTAATTGGTTAGAGGATTTCATCATGAGCTGATATCATTTAGAGAACCAGTGGAAAACTTGGGAGTACTGGACAGCTGTTTCGTTCTAGTTTAGGACTCCTCATCATAACGAACCCACATATAAACCACATACCTTAAGATGACTTCTGAATTTATGTACATATATTACAGAATCAAGTTTATTCCACCCACCGTCCAGAGACTTCTTTACTTATTGTATTACTTAATAAATCATTAGTAGTACACTTTTTTTCTGTGCTTTGAATTTCCATTAGCAATGGGAAAAGGCTAAGCAACAAGGAACTCTGGAAGACACAACAAATCAGCCAAGAACCCGTTGCCCAACAAATATTCAGAAGGAAACAGAGATGGATAGTCAAGTGACATCGTAACTCAGGCATACCATCGAGTGGAACTCTAATGACAACAGAAAGGTTGACCGTGAGTCTGGAGATTGCATGGAGGGGACCACGTGAATGGGGTGGATGGAAGCTTATGGGGAATCATGAAGTCATTTGGAAGTGATGGCAGAAAGAGGAGTACAACGGAAATGTGCAACTGAAAGGCGTATTTTTCTATTTTAGCTCAAGAGATAAATAATATTAATTTTCAAGTATTGGTTTTGTAGAGAATTTTGTTTGATTGGTTGGAGGATTTCATCGTGAGTTGACATCACTTAGAGAAACACCGGAAAACCTGGGAGTACTGGACAGTTGTTTCGTCCTAGTTCGGGACTGTTCATCAGTACGCACCCACATCACGGGGCTCGAACCCAGGACCTAGTCGTTACAAGGCGAGCAAGCTAGTATACCATTGAGCCACTGGGATCCCACTCAATGGTCCTTGAATTCTAACTTCTGCCAATTCACGACATAGCGCGACCACTTCGGAATGTCTTCTTCAATGAGTTACCGCCTCATCTTCAGTCTGCTGTAGCCTACTGGTCACGGCTTCCCACTAGAACCCCAGGTTAACTGCCTGAATACGGCCAGTCGCTAGTGAGCTGAAAAGTCCCAAACTAGGACGAAACAGTGGTTAAAGTGGTTCTCTAACTGATATCAACTCATGATGAAATCCTCCATGCAATCAAATAATATTAAGACGAAGAATGAGATATCCTATTTTAAAGAAGAACTAAACAGTTTTAAATTAAAGCTTACTCTGCATCTACAATGAAGCAGTTGATTGGCAGCATGTTTAATATGCTGTAGGAATTTATTATTTTGTATAAATCGACTATTGTTATTACTGTTATTATTATTATTCGATCCCGTTAAATAATGAACAGTATCATTGTATTCATTTGAAATATCAGTTGAACATTGAATATAAAATTGTGAATTTTGACTATCAAATAAATTTTGTCCAAAATATAAATCATCAGATTTGTTGATTGTGCTATCATCATTATCATCCATAGTGTACTTATTATCTATGTAAAAATTAAGATAAGCTGATGTATTGAAAGTGTCTTTTTTAACTGTTGGAATCAACTGTGACACTGACGACGATGAGGATGAGGCGGATGATGATGATGATGATATCGGTGTTGGTGCTGAAAAGGGTAGAGTTTTATTTACATTTGTAGTATTTATATTATTATTATTATTACTTGCAACACTATTCATAGCTGTGCTATATTCATTATTACAAATAATACTATAAAAAGTAGCTGGTGATTCATATGATGAATAGCATAACTTGCTTGAATTTATATTTGATATTGGAAATTCTTCTAAGCAGGTATGTAAACCTCCTCTATTCAACATAGTATAATGATTTGTTGATTTCAATTGTTCCATTAATTCTATGTCTAAATCATTTTTCTCCAGCAGACTTAATAATCGTGGATGTTGACTTTGTTCAGTTTGTTTATTGCATGAACTGATTGATTCGGAGTGTAGGCCATCAGATGCCTCTATATTATTATTATTATTAATCCTGTTATTGTCTTCATAAGTGTTCAGTTGATTATCAGTGATAACTAATGGGGATTCAAGTATACTACTGCTGTTGCCACTACTACTACTATCACTCGCCTGTCTACACTTTCTTCTAGGCTTCTTTACTCTGTCGATTTCTATATCAAATGTATATACATCTTTATGATTTGAATAGGAATGAAAGTTAGCTCTGTCTTGGGTTATGATGTTTGATGGTAGTATTGACGACTCAGCTGGATGATCAGTTGACATTGTTTTATTTATCATGTAGACTTTTAAATCTTTAGAAGTATTTGCTCGCTAAAAAAAAGAAGAAAAAGAAATGATAGAACTTTTTTTCAAGAGGGGAGATGGTTATGGCGGCCGGCTTAAAACTTGGGCTACCAAAAAATTCCATCTCTCTATTGCATATATTTTCTCTCCTTCGATATGTTTTAATTCCATTGAGACATTACCTCTAATGGTATGATGAGAGCTGTCTGTTAGCCAAAATTGTAGAAAACAATTTACATCAATGTTTACGTCCCGAATCGGGGTCAACCTTGATGAACTCAACAACCAGTCACAACAGACTTAATGTGTGTAAATACGATTCGCAGATATATGACCAGACTGTCAAGTAAACGGTCACAGAGAAATGAGAGAATAATCTTCAACAGGGAAACAACCAATCAGAAAAGGCTGCTTCTCTGCTAACGATAACGAATAATAATGTACATAAAAGTTTATAAATGTCTGTTCAGTTTCTCAGTAAACGATCTGTTGCCTGGCCCTTGTCTTCTGTTGTCACAATGGTATTATCTAATCTTGTGTGTATTTACTAACATGTTTACAAGCTTCTGTTTCGCAAGTTCCTATTAAACTTGAGGAAATGTCTGATTGTGGATGACAACGTGTTAGATCCAATACATGAGATAACTGTACTTCAGTTATTTCCTTGAGTCTCAAAATGTACTTCGGAACATCTTACAATTGGCTTCCAACTAGATATCATAGATTTCTTGAAGGAAACAAAGAAGATGTATCATAATGGAATGGTTTATGCTTCAGTTCAGAGACTATTGTGTCACAGGAATACTATCAATTAATATTTCACTTGAAGATATGTGTGCGAAGGGAAAATGTTATGCAATTAACTTCTCAGAAAATTCCGTACATTTTATAAATACTGTCCAGAATAAAGATATTATTACTATCTCGAAAACCTAATTCCGATAGTCATGTGTTTCCAGAATATATGTAAAACAAAGCGTAGATTACTACAGCTTCACAAGTATTCCTAAACGTAAACTAGCTTCTCTGATGAAAAACTGAGTCGCATTATTGAACACCTCGTTGACTATGGACACCTGTCTCCAATTGTAACTTTGACAAATATTCTGTATAGGAGTAAATCCAATTGTTAAAGTGCATTAACAACAAAAAAACTTACGTATAGCCAAATCCATATTATATATATACTTACATTCTGTTGAGTTCCAGGTGAAATATCTGGCTTCAAGCTCTGAAGTTCCAGTAGTGGCGGTGGTGTTGTTTTCACGTAATGGAGTGACTGACCTCACTCCTAGCCTCCTCTCTTTTCCGGGTTTACTAGCAGATAGGCGATATTTAGGAGTGTGTTGGTTCGGAGTGGAACCCATGGCTGGAGATCAGCCTACCATTGAATTGTCTGGTGTACTTCTTATAGGCTCAGCCCAAAACGAACGAAACCACCACCCAGTATTTAAATCACCTCTACCTAACTGACTAGCAAGCACTACTGGTTGATGTCAGTAGTATAAAACTACTCATTTCAATCAGTCAGTAGTATGTAGCATTATGCATTTATGCTTACTGTGTTGATTTTCATTTATGATATCAAGCAGATCACATATTGTGATCTCGGACCGTGTGATCTGCAAATCGCAATTTCTATGAAAATACAATCGTTGTTTCAAGTTAAATGTGTTACTAATTTGTGTTAGCCTTTTTTCAACTGGACAGAAATTAATTCATGCACAGTTATCTGCTAGGCAACGGAAATCTGTAGTCATTATAGTTTATTTGTTATTGTATTGTATATATAACTGAATAATGCTGAACAGAGCTATAAAGTATATACTAGTGACTGTTATGAATAGTTTGATAATCACACGAATCAGCCAACAAAATTCGTTAGCTAGACATAGATAACCCTAACAGTTAGTAACCTTTCCTGTTATTTTTGGTTGATCTCATTATCAGTGTATCCCGATTGATTCATCTTATATAGCTGAGTCGTTCGAACTACAAAAATATTTTGACCAACTGCTGTAGTAGTATGGAGGGTAACACTGAATAAAATCCTGTAACCAATTGGTCAAATCCCTACAAACCAGTACTTGAATATCAATGAGACATTCACTAGCAACTGGCCCTATTCAGGTAGGTGGTCACCTGGGGTTCAAGTAGGAAGTCGTGATCAGTAGGGTGCAGCAGGTCGAAGTTGAGGACAAATACTCTCCTAAGACATTGACTAGCGGTCGCGCTATGTCGTGAATTGACAGAAGCTGGAATTCATGGACTGGCTATTGGATAGGGTCCCAGTGGCTTAATGGTCTACGAGCTCGCCTTGTAACCGGGAGGTCCTGGGTTCGAACCCTGTCGGTGGGTGCGTATTGATGAAAAGTCCCAAACTAGGCTGAAGAAACAGCTGTCCATTACTCCCTGCAGGTTTTCCAATGGTTCTCTAACTGATGTCAGCTAATGATGAAATCCTGTAACCAATCGAATAAACTCTTTATAGCTTTTACATTCCAAGTTAGCCAACAAGTGCTTTTAGTTAGTATGAATGAATTTTTAATTGTTCACAATCTGTCTGTGTTGCGCTAACTTTCTGTTCTTATTCTTAACTTCACTTAATGATAAAAAATAATAATAATATTATGACTTGAATAGTTTTACATATCCGACTGTTCAATCTACAAAAAAACGTTATTTTCTTATCATTTTAGTGGAAAAAACACTGATTTTTTCATCTGAAGTAATTACCTTCTTGTGTAAATTTGTATCATCACTCCATTGTGATGATATATCTGACATGATTATTTCCCTATTGTGCTTATTATTATTATTATTTATAATTTGATGATTATTGTTATTATCAATTGCGTCACCGTTGACTTGATTTAATTTAGCCAGGTTTAGATTTTCTACAGATGAATTCATACTACTCATATTTTTATTAGTAGCTAAGTTAAATTGATGGAATTTTGGCATGTTTTGATGATTATCATCAGCATCAGTGCTATTATGATTCCGTTCAGAATTTTTTGGTTTTGACTTGATTGAAGAAGATGTATATCGATCTAAAAATGCTTTCGACGGGGCAAGATAATGACTACCTGAGGAAATAAGTGACTGTGGTATATTAAAATTTTTGCATTTAAAATAGTTTAATGATGAGGAGTCAAATTGATCTCGATTTATTGAATTAATATTATTGCTATTATTTAGGTTATTCATATTATCTAGTAATTCGTTTGTAGAAAGAGGACACATTCCACCACACTCTCGATAAAAATTAGCTGAACAGTTGTCACTTTCTGTGTTTTCATTATTACCATTAAGATTATACCGATTAATATTTGATGAATCCAGATATTTATTTACATGATTTATAGGCATTATTTGTGCACTATCTATCTCTATGAATTGGAATGGATTAGGCTGTCCACATGTTTTTGAACCGTTAAGTTTATTCTCATGTATTAAATTTAAATTTTGCAACTGATTAGAGTTTAAACAACAGTCTAATTTCAATGTTGAAGGAAATGATGAATGATTTTGTTTAGATGATGAATCATTTCCTATAAACAGTGATGTTGGTGATGATATTTTTGTTGTTGTTTCATCAACTTTTATTTGTTTTAAAGTAAAATTTTCATTTAATTTATCACAATCATGAAGATAACTGTCTTCATTTATTGTTAAATTAGGATTTACCTTCATTAAATAAGGTATAATCTGTTTTGAATTAGATTGAACCACTGAATTCAATACTTCACCTTGTTCAATATTCCAATTCATTGTTGTTTGTTTAATTGGTGACTGTGCCTCATTGGTTGGTGTTGGTGTTATCGCTATATTATCATTCCACTGGCTAAATTCTTTTTTCACTTGTATATTTTCATAAGGCAAATGTTCATTATCCTCTTTATCTTTTATTGATTTTCTGTATTCATTATCATGGTCACTACTGTCAATGTTGTGGTTAATAGTACCAGTCGTAGTAGCAGGACCAGAGTTATTTCTTTTTGACTTTATTAAATTATCTTTATATAAAGGAGAATGAGTTTTTAAATTATTCTCATATTGTATTTGTAAGTCTTTCTCGTGTTGACTATAAAATTGTGCTGCTCTGGATAAATTTATTAAACCAATTGATGAATAATCATTATGGATTAATTCATTGAATTCTTTTTGTTTATTTAAACATGTAACAGCATCTGATTGGGTGGCTACTGGTATCATCCCATCACAATCACCTGTAGCACCTTTAGACAATGTTGATAATGGTGTAGAATTGAATATTTCATTATTCTGACTAGTTTGATATTTATTCTCATAGAATTGTTGTTCACTTATGTTGTTATACGGATGAGATATTGTTTGACTTGATGTAGAGCTTATTGTTGTTGTTGTTATTTCTTTAATATCATCAATTACTTGACACGATTTATTGCCTTGTTGCATATGGCATAGATTAATATTCATTTCTGATGCTGTTACTGTTGGTTGATATGAAAACGTATTTAAATGTGTGACATGAGAAGAAATTGGCGGAATTGATTTATTTAAACAATACTTGTGACTTGAATTGACCATTTCCCTGTGATTATCAATCTTATATTGTGACTGGTTCAATGGATCTGTTTGAATTAATTGATGTGATAAATTATTTAATGATGGTGTAGGTGATAAAAAATTATAATTTGATACTGTTGAACAATTGGACATTGAATGCTGTTTTAAATGTATGCCTGAATTAGATATAGCTGATCTAATTTGTTCGATTTCAACAGCACAACGATGTTTTATAGCATTTGGTTGACGACCAATACGACTGCCTAAAATTTATTGTAAAGGTTAACACACACACACACACACAAGATGAAGAGTTTACCTACCTACAAAAAAAATGTTTCATATGAAAAAGATTTTTCTTTCATAGCATAATAATTTTAAATGCAGAAATTACAGATTTGGTTTTTATAAAATATATGCAACTACTAATATCTGTATACTGGATATTCAAATTTTCTTAAGTTAGTCTTCATTACTTTCTCCACAAGTTTTTCTGTTATGTGTTAATGCAGTTTTACAGAGAATTAATAATAGTTTACGATATACGATGAACATACTAACGCATGGAGGTTGTTTCAGTTTCTAAATTCTTTCGGTTATATGACATCATTTGACCATATGCACATATATATAACGACAGAAGACAAGGGCCAGGCAACAGGTCGTTTATTGAGAAATTCAACAGATGTTGATAAATTTTTATGTACATTATTATTTGTTATGGTTAGCAGAGAGGCAACCCCTTCTGATTGGCTTTTAACTTGCTGAAGGTTATCTGACATCTCATTGTGGCCGTTTCTTTGAAGGTCAGACCACATATATGCGAGTCGTACCCGCCCACTGAAAGTCTGCTGTGACTGGTTGTTGAGTTCATCAAAGTTATGCTTTGTTCTTGTTTTTTCTCATGGCCAAGATTTGGGACCTAAACACTGACGTAAATTGTTGGCTACAATTTTGGCTATCAGACAGCTCTCACCACCTATGTACTTCGGGTATTTAAAGTTAGGTGGTTGGAACCCAATCTACACTAAGCCAGTCTCTTAAATTGGCGACCACATTGAAATCCTGACCGACAGAATTCAGTCATCACCTGTACTAAGGACTACACACACACACATACAAATCAGGTTACCCTTCTGCCACTAACCCAGTTACAAATCAATATAAATTCAGATATTTGTGGAAATCTTTACATGGTGACGAGATTCAGTTACCACACGAGGAAGATTTACTAATGGATAGGCGGGTGAAGACGATAGTAACTCTTATTACGTATTCAGAAGTCTATAGAGTACTTCATACGAATTACTCAAGAAAGGTCTTTAAACTGTCGAATATTATATACAATTGGTGGATGGTGGCTAGCAGTGGAATCAAGGATGCACATTTCGTCCTATTTGGGACTCGTCATCTGGATGTACCTGCATTTCTCAGTGAGTGATGATGTTCCCACGGAGGCTCGAACCCAGTGCCCATAATTTCAAACGCCATCCTGGATTCCACTGCTAGCCACCATCCACCAATTGTATACAAATCAAATCCCCAGACATCGTCGAAGCATCTGCACAAGAAGCCGACATGTCAACCTGAGACTGAGCACTTCGGTCCAATCAATCGACGGGAAAATCAAAAATTCAATTCAATAATGTTGAATATTATATCAGGAAATGCTATTTTAAATTGCAAGGATGAATACAAAATGATTATGAAAAAGTAAAGATTCGTAACTGAGGTGGATGTTTCCAGTGTTACCGTACTCTTTCAGTTGGACTTTTCTTCCTTTTTTTAATTGTGCGGTATTCATTTTACTTTTGGGGAAAAACCTTTAGCACTACAGCTTCAAAACGAATTCAGATTTTAGAATTCCACATGAATCAGTAGACACAATTACTTTACTAATGGAGAATTTCAAACAATTCACTTCCTTTTTGAAGTTTTAGGCGCTAAATATTTTTTTTCTAAAGGTACAATTCACAGTTTAGAGTTTGTTTAATCTTTCAAATTTTGCGCAAAGTGTTTGGGACTCTTCATGAGTATACACCCATGACCCCGTCACCACCAAAGATCGAACCAGGGACCTTCAGGTTGCCAGGCCAGTCTGGTCCATGAGTTTTAACTTCTATCGACTCGCGATTTTTACGGCGGCCTGCTTCAGTCACTGAGTTACCAAAGTTTCTATCCATCAAAGTACCTAAACTCTTTAGCATTTATTATTGTTTTAATTATGTAATTATATCAAAGGATCACTACATATACTCGTGCACATATTGAATTAGCTTTCAATAGAAAGCTGCTCAATCCTTCAAGAAAATAAAGAAGAATGTACATAATTGGTTCTCCCTTCATATGCAACAACACTATGTCATATGACATGTAAATCCTGTAAGAAGAGGAAGTGTTCTGGAGCTAAGTACCCTGAAAACGCCTGTGCATAATGTCTGAAATAAAGCTTTATTATTACAGTTATCACTATTAATATTATAGCACCACCTCGATACAGTGTCATTAACGTGTATTTGGCCTCACAGCCAACCTTGGGGACCCACTTGGTTTCCAATGGTCCTCTACCTGATGTCAGTCTATGGCCTAACTTGAAACTAATTAAATAATTGAGTAATGAACATGTATAGCAATAGCATGAAATAATTATTCAATAGTTATTTTTGTATGCTATCTTACCATCTTTTGACATTCCCACAGCTAAACATCGACGATATCTACAACTTTTGCAGTTATTTCTTGTAGCACCGGTAACAGCACAATTACCTCCATTTCTACATGTATAACGTTGACTTTCTCGCTCATTGATTGTTCTTCGAAAGAAACCCTTTTTTATGTATAAAAAAAAGATGAAAGAAGATAACTAAATTATGAAGGTTCATAGATTTATTTTCAGGTTAGATTAAACATCTGAAAAACGGTAGTACAATCATTTCTGTCGTTATATTACTAGACAGTGTATAGAAATATGTAAAGGCACAGTAGAAATAAGGATGAATATTAATTTTTTCGACATCTGGTTTATGATAAGTTTTCTTCGAATTCATAAAGTGTACCTTGGAAATGTATTGTCTTCTATAGTAATTATGTTAGCAGCAGTTGGTTTTTATCAATATCTTCAGCACTGGCAAATCACCATTATTTTTGTTGTTGTCTTAATCACCACTCTATTTTAATAAAAACCAATAATCAATATATTTCGAACACGACCTTGTGTAACTCAGGTGTGAAATAAACAATTTTACCTTTTGGAGTGTAATTCAAACTCACTGTAGCAATGATAACTGAAGCACTTTTAAGAGAGCTGTAGTTAGAATAAAAAGTTTAGAAATACAGACAATCACCTAAAACAGCATACTCGCAGACCACACTGGATGGCGAGTGTGCTATATATCGCTAGTTGACAGAAGTTAGAAACTACGGGTCATTGAATTCCTACCTAAGTGACTTAGTGTTCAACAAGCTTGGTCTCATAACCAGAAGGTATTTTGGTTCGATCCTTGGTGGGGTCGCAGGTGCGTACTGCTAAAGAGTACCAAGCTAGGACGAGATGGATCTCTAGTACTCCCTAGTTTTCAATGTTTCTCTAAATGATATCAGTCCATGCTCAGACTTGAGACACCATTACACAAAATTGGTGTTCATTAATTAAAACAATACATATCACAGGAAAATCAGTACTTTCGTATCGTTATCCAGTTACTAAAATGTCTTTAATTTATAAAATGCATAAGCTGCTCTAATAAATGTACACTTTTCAAAACCAGCAGTTATCAGCTATACATAGTTGACTTTCATCTAGCCTGCTCAAAAACAGTATGAAAAACACTAAGGCAGTTCAGTTTATGGGACTAATATTTAAATTGTTGGCTTTATGGAGATTTGATTGATTTTAGATTTGAGTTAACATGGATTGACGTCGTCTAAGGCTGTCATTTAAAACTAAACAGTATTGGGAAACAGTGTGCAACCAAAACCACAACAGGAGTGTATCTCAAAGTCTTCAGACTATACAATAAACATGTTGCTCTTCAGCTACTATGTATGAACCCAATGGCTTAATGATTCTGTCAATATAGCGCCACCATTATCCTGTGTCATCAATGATTACTTGTCCTCATTACCGAAATTAGTGGATCCTGCTGGTGGATTTTAGGAAATCCATCTCAATATTGGTCGCTACTGGACTGTAAATTGTTATAAGTTTTAATCTTAAATCACCAGCTTCTAACTCAGTGAATTATAACTTACCAGAGATGCTTAAATCGACAGTCTTGACTTTGACTCTCCGGAAGCTATTAAACGCTTCTTGATTCTCGATGTTTACTTAAACGATATCAATTTTAAAAAATTACCATTCTTCCAAAAATGGTATTTACTCATCGTTGAAGTGCTAATAACAGTTAATTACGACGGTATGAACAACTAGATGGTAAACTTTCACTCCATTTAAATTTCAAACAGAAAACAGTACCAATTTTACTTGTAAAAAAAAAAGAAATGTGATTCAACAGAATTTATATTAACTAAAATATTAAGCGTGAGATTTTCAGTTTGCCGCTTTTACAAGTATCCTTCTATAATTTATGACTGGACACTCTTCAGTGAATGATGTAATGTGTTTAGTCCCATCTTTGGTGTAGACTGAATTCTTTACAATGTGGTCATTATAGCTAGGTAACCAGTCATTGCAGTGCACACTGAATTGATCTACTGATAGAATTTAGTCTGCACCAACCCAAGGACTAAACCTATGGCATTAGTCACTGACTGATCAAAGTATCCATTACAGTCCCACAGGAGGTCAATCAAGGACTTGAATAGCCCAGTGGCAATGTTTCCAAGTGCAGCTCTGGGTTTCGAGGGTTCAAATCTCAAAGGCGACATGATTTTCTACAAAGCTGAAGATAAGCCTTCCTGGTGAGGGTCAACAAGCACGGCACCCAGGTTCAGGGCTTTCCGCCAACTGCCTCTAATCATCTAATACACTTCACAAGCATTTTATTGGTGAAATTTGTCAATATTTCTATTGAATGAACTTTACTACTGAAAAAGTAAATAGTATTAAGTTTATAAAATGGAAACTTATCAGACGCCATGATGGTATGATCGTAGACTTAAATTTCTTATAATCCATGAGAAATCAAATGATAATTTCTGTTAGGACTATTAACTAAATAATTAATTTTTGGTAGTATGGCAAGTCAAGCAGCCTGCCTCAATTACTGGGCTGTCTAAATTTCCATCCTATATGATGTATAAACTGCTCTCCATTTGCATACAACTAAATACTACTGGTTGATTGAGATGAGTAGTTTTATACCATCCGTATCAATCAGTAGTGCCTGCTAGCCAAAACACCAGATGGTCGTTTCGCCCATCTGGGTCGAGCTAACCAGCGGTGTAAATTTCAAATTGTGGATCTGATCTATGTTCTCCATTTCTTATTGTTTTCTAATCAACCAGTTATATCTTTGGTGCTCTACATGAACTTGAAGATTAGCTGTCAGTGCAATGATGAGTACTTCTCAAAGAGAATGAAGGGGAAATGTCGTAAAGGATTGGATGCTGCCTCACACGGATCAGCATAACGCCATACGATATACTGTAGAGTACTGTCTTACTCTTGGTTCGCCGGTGGCACAGCGGTTAGGACGCTCGCTGACCATGCACATGGTCCGGGGCTCGATCCCCGACCGCCAACGCACTCCTTCACCTCTCTAAGCGAGTAATAAGACTGGTAAAGAGGGAAGGTTGGGCATGAGGCTAGCAAACCCATCCTGTAAAAATAAACACTGCCCTCCCTATGTTCCACTGGGAACGTGAAGGCATAAAACAAACTAACTTACTCCAAGATTCTGTACGAAGATTAAATATTCTGCAAAATGAATGCTCTAAGAATACCTAATTATGTGTCAACATATTGTCTGCAATGAAGCTGTTTTTATTACTTATTCTTAATATTACCATATGCATGCTGTACACCAAAATGATTGAAATATCCCAGTGTATTATTATTAATATATGTGTAAAAGTGGCATTCAAACCCACAAACTCAATTAGAAACAAGCTTTGTCAGTTAAAGGATCCTGTAGAGCCATTAAAACAAAACAATTTAGTTTATCTAATACCCTGCAATGATTGTGAGGTCAAATACATAGGTCAAACTAGTAGAACAGGGGCAGTCAGACTAGCCGAACATAAAAACCTAGCTAAATCTAGATTGGTTGACCCGAATAAGATAAGAAATCTAGAGAGTAGTTCAGCTATAACACTACATGCAGTTACACACAACCATACAATAGGATGGGATAGGATGACAGTTTTAAAATCTAATGTCACAGGGTATAGGGAGAGATTGATAACAGAAGCTTTGTTTATCGAATCAACTGCAAATACATGTAATAGGAATGATTCAACACCTGTCCCAGATATATGGAAAATTCTACTGCCCATACAACAAATAGGAGAAGACAGAGAAAACTATAAAAATCAAATCTCGAAGTCGTGTGACAAAAATTGATATGATTATGAACAATAAATTGTGTTCGAAACGTCATCCAGTATACAATACTGTTTCACTGTGTGATACATTTAATAATCAAACTAATATGGAAGTATTATTATTAATATTACTCTTTGGCTGGAAACTAGTTAGTAATTAGTGAAGCGTGTCTAGTCCTTTGTTTGTTGCAGACTGAATTCCGTCAGTCAAATTTTCGGTTATTATTATTCCCATAGGTTCCTAGTGGAACATGAGACTTCAACAACACATCTGCATTCCACTCTGTTCTCTGCAGACTTTTCTAACTGGCTCTACGATTTACTGTAAGCTTCAATTTCCTCTTTCCGTGATTTCTTGCATATCATACTCGAATGCCCAACTCACCCCTTCCTGATCAACTTCCACTCGTGGACCTGGCGTGTCATGTCACTCAACGGTCTTCTCAGTGTGTGTCCAATCCTAATTCTCCATATCCTCTGGGTAGCATGTTCCTTGCAGGTTCCTAACCAGAGTTCCTTGCTGTAAATTCTTACTTCCTGGTCATCTGATCTTCAGTATTGATCAAAGGTAGCTTTTAATGAACGTCTGCAGTAGCTTTTTGGGAATGCTTTCGTTAACAAGCCAAGTCTCTGAACCACGTAAAAGTAATAACTTCACATTAGTGTTGAAAATCCGAATCGACTTCCTTATGCTGAGTACAGCAGATTTCCACAATGATTTGTTAATGACAACGGCCTTTCTTACTTTCCCAATCCGATCCTCCCTGACTTTGACATGCTCATTCATGTCGCCTATCTGCAGTTGGAATGATGCCGCTTAGATCAGTTAGGCGAAAAAGGTGACTTCTTTTAGACTTCTCTTGTTGACGTTAATTGGTGCTTGTTATTGCTGAGTAGATATCTTCATCACCTCTGTCTTTCTTTACTGCTTCTCCCAGCAACTTATTGATTTTTAGTAGTATATGCCCTTTTCATTGAGTGCCAACAAACAAATGAAAACCTAGATTGTCAAAATGGTAAATGGTCATGCTTAGATTATGCAGTATTCATCAATAAATATCATATTATAATAATAACACTCATTGTGAAGGTGTAAAAATATTTTCATTGTATATTACCTTACAGCCTTCGCATGTTATTGCACCAAAATGAAAACCTGATGATTTTGCTCCACAAACACGACATGGTATTTCTGATATATCAGTAACCGGAAACACAGCAGCTCCTACAATATGAAAGTAAAAAAAAGTGAGTAAACATGGATAGATGTTTTCAGAAATATTTATCAGCTAATGTTAAGAATATGTAATCACTAATGGTCAGACTATCTAGGACGGCTTTGGATCTGTCCACTGCCCAGCTGATGTGATGGGTAGTGATTGGAGGTGTCAAGCTTCGAACAACATACTCCTCCCTGCCTAACTTACTGTGATTTCAACTGACCAGATTAGACGTAGTTCAGTAGATGATATGTTGAAAAATGGACATTTATGTATCATTCATTGACATGACAGATAGGCACCACCAGTAATGATCGCAGCTAGTTCTCATTGCCTAGACAGATAGATAGATAGACCATCGGACTAGTAATTTGGAGACTGTTGTTTTGAACTTTGTCTTCAGTAATCACCCACCAGCATTTAATAAGCTGAGTTCAGTAATACAAGAATGATTATATATAAGGTTCACATTAAAGATTTTTCCCGGATAAACTCCAGAAAATGTCAATCTGAGTCCAATTCAAATAACTGATCAGACTACCATAAGTTTATGAGGCAAACCGAAGACCTAATGAATGACTGGGTCTTGCAGACTACTTGATAGAGTGCCAGGCTGAGAATATAGACGCCTTTGGTTGAAGGCGAATCGATAACTAGGTCTCACCTGAACTTCAGCAGTGACGTCATCACATTAGATTACAGTGACTAGATTAAATTAGATTAGACCATCTGATCAACTACTTAAAAAAAAATAGAGTTTTCCCACTGCCTTGTCCCAGAGGGACATCTTAATTCATACACTAATAAATAATCTAAATGATTTCTTTGACTGATCAAGCAATGTCATGTGTTGAGTCCTTAATGCTGATACTGAGTGAATGCTACCAGTGAAGCTTACAGTGTGATTACCGAGCTGAATGACTCTCCATTATGGTACACTTTGAAATGATGTTTAAGTAGTTGGAGTCAAACAACAAGACTAGAGATAGTCACGACTTTGATGAATCTGTACAATTAACAGATATTCAATGTTCAGGATGCTTAATATTTTAAAATAAATAAACTATCACAGAATGACAGAAAATGTGTATTTTGGACTTGTGTGGAGTGGATTTATTTATTTATTTAAAGTTAGACTGCTTCACGAATTGATGCTTTTGTTTCAGAATTCCTTGGCAGTACTCTCCCTCTCCCAACCTCACAATATATAGAAGTTTGAACCATTTAGTGTTACTACAGTTACGTTACACCGAGCCGTTATGTTGAATTCTAGGAGTATATAATTATTCCTATCTTCTGTCAGTTAGAAATATAGCTACTCTGTCCATGAGTAAATGTTCTTAAACTCTGTTAGTATGAACCCGTCAGTTATAACTTCCTATTAAAAGCTTGGGAAGTCTATTACGAAAATGTGTATTTGATTAAATTTAGTCTGAATGCCTTGAAGGTCTACAGTTCCTAGTACAATCTTCCATAGGGTCATGTGCAGATACTGTAAAACAGTCGCAAACTAGAAAGAATCATTTTTAAGTGTCACTTTGCGCAGATCTAATTGATTTCAAGTTTGATCAAGAACTGACTTCAGTTAGAGAACCACTGAAAACTACGGAGTACCAGATAGCTGTTTTATCCTTGTTCGAGACTTTGTTCAATGCCACCTGATTATTAATGGTTCTCTAAATGAATTCGGTTTATGTTCAACGTAGAAAAAGCCGCTTGTACAGTACAGTACAGTACAGTACTGGTTGTTCAGCTAATCAATGTGGGTTTGTCACGAAGTCTACATCAACTACCCACAGTTTATAAACTAATATGTATAAAAATTAACAAAAGCTTGATTCGTAAATAATTTCTGATCTAATCTATTGAAAAGAAATTGTATAAACTGAAGGCATGACATGTGCTACTGATACGATTTGTCAGTAGTATAAAATTATATAATATAGTGGAGAGGTAGATTTGACATCAAAGAGAACAAATAATTCTGCGTTGTGGCAAAACATGGGAAACACGAAAAGAAGACAAAGAGAGGTAATACAAAGGAAGGGAAGAAGTAGCACAACACGGAAGATCTATGCAAATGACGATTTTCATACAAATCGTACAAAATTTCCCTATACACAGAGATATCACATTCATTACCTAGTCTCCTGTCTCCTACCGTTATAAAGAGTAGAAATACAGGGGAGATGGGTGACGTGAAATTGTTTTTGTTCTATTATCGTTATTGTTATTATTATTATTATTACTAATAAATTTCCCAATGAATACTGATCCATGCCTGTAGATGCATCCCCGCATGTGTGTGTTTATGCGGACGAAGAGACTGGGAAAGACCAAAAGCATAAAAGTGTGCACTACTATAAATAATGTCTTAGAGATCACGTTTTCCCTCGCATCTATTAACTATCATCACCACCGCTACAGTCAACGGTATACATACATTGTAACCATTAATAGAATAGATAATGAAAGTTCCTCACTATTCACTTTGGAAAATTCTTAATGCGGTCGGTGTTTAGTGAAAGTTAAACCAAGAGAAAGAGGGAGACGGGTGTGGAGGGAGGCAGGGAAGAACAAAGGTGACGGTGGATAGTTAGTGATGATAATAATAATAATTACTATTACTATTGTTATTATTATATTAAAGGGAAATAAAATACAGTTATATTTATTCATGACATGACATGATTTACTCTGACTTACTTGATAAATAATCACGTTTTAATGAAATGATTAATGTGAATTAAAGAGATTAGCCTTTCTTTCTTTATTTCTCTTTGTTTTATAGTGTACTGTATGGAATGAATAGACGAGCCACAGAGCCATAATTAAAAATCTCTGTGGCGAGTAGTCAGATCTACAGCCTTATATAAATTATAAGGTGTCTTCTGTATGTATATAGATAGATAGATAGATACTGTGTATCATTTATTTGTCATAGGTTATAATCATTCATTGAATTGTAAATGGAAAGTGACATTTTTTTTTCTCTACGTGCATTATGATCAGAATTGTAGAAAATACTTTGAATTTTGTTTTGTTTTGTTTATTTTACTTGGAAATAATCAAGGCGGGAAAAAAACAACCATCTAAGAAATTTCGTGAGTGTTACTACGTGTCAGTAAGGCTTTTCGTTTTTTTTAATATTTTTGCAAATGTCAACTGAATTGATACATAGAGCGCAGCTTACTGACTGCTTTCAGCTACCACCTAACATTAATGTAGTGCATTATGACTGAAAGTGAAACAGAAATCCATGTCGCAATACGGTTAGAACTGTTGGAATTCTGAATTACTACTCCAGTGGTCTACGAACTAAACTACGACGCCAGACTGACAAACCGACTATCATTTCACTGCATTTAACACAGATTATATTAGTAGTAAACTGTCATGTCAACCTAACTGTCAATTAAAAACTTGCTTCTTTCTTGATTCAATATGACTTGAATTTTCAAGTATTTTGTTTTGTAGGGATTTAGTTTGATGGGGGATTTCAGTTGGCACAGGTTGAAGATGAGACATTGCGAAACGGTTGCGCTACGTCGTGAATTCAAAGAAGTTAGAATTCATGGACTAGCCATTGGATAGGGTTCCAGTGGCTCAGTGGTCTACGAGATCACTGGCCTTGTAACCAGGAGATCCTGGGTTCTAATCCTGGCAGTGGGTGCTGATGAAGAGTCCCAAACTAGGACGAAACAGCTATCTAGTACTCCCTACAGGTTTTCCAGTGGTTCTCTAAATGATATCAGCTCATGATGAAATCCCCCATCCAATGACTAGAATTGACAAGAAAAGATTTAGCTGAATAGTTATCGTGGTGGTAAGAGGACAGTTATACATCAAGTTTGATCGCGGATTAAGATCAGTTAGAGAACTATTGAAAACAGGGGAGCACTAGGAACCTGTTTTGTGTTAGTTTGTAAATCTTCAGTAGTACTCAGCCATGACCGCGGATCTTCTGGTTATGAGACGAGCTCGTTCACCACTCAGCCGCTAGGACAGAATCGGATGGTCCATGAATTTTAACTCCTGTCAATTAGTGATATGTAACTACACCGCTATCTAACGTAATAGGTGGATATTTGTCTTCACACCTGACCTGGTGTACCCTACTGATCACAGCTTCTCACTAGAAGCTTAGGCAACTTCATCCTGCATTCAGTCACTAGTGAGTCCAAAACTGACATTAATCCATGGTTAAACGTCAAGCCAATCAAATCCTTACAAATTAACCCTTGAAAATTATGCATCATTCATTCATCGGACAGTTAAGAATTAAGTGTGACGATTACAGAAAATTTATCCCATAACTCAGTTGATACAGAGCAGCAAACTAATAAATTCAGACGCTTATGTTTCGAAACTTATGGAAGCTTAGATTTTCATCACATCATCTGTAGTCTTCACTCATTGCATCGACACAGAAGCCTGTCGATCTGAAAGATTCTCACACAATCAATACTCATCTACTAAAAATCTATGTTAATACAGTGTGAACATACAACTGCCCTCATTTCTCAACCAGTAGTACTACACTCACTATTACTACATTCTGTGGATATACTACAGAACAGAAAGGAGAGGTTTAAAGAATACTGAATACACAATGCAATTTACAAGTCAATTAATTTACTGATACAGTAGGTTTAAGCGAAATTCTCTACTATTTTGTAAATGTTACCAGAAAATCCAAAATGATAGTCCAAGATACTATTGTACTGTGAGTATGTATGTGTGTTACATTGAATTCAGCATTGAATAATAAAAGTTCTAATCATTAGAAAGAATTTACTTTCTGATCAACTCTGACCTTATTCAGGAATCCTAAGAAGTGAATTACTGAGATTAAATAAATTAAGGTGTTCTTCTAGTTGGCTTTCAATATCTAAGAATATGCACCTTGAGTAAGGTGATAAAATAAAGTGAGTAAATAAGTATAAGTGAGAAGTCGTGACCAGTAGGGTGCAGCAGGTCGAGTGTAAAGACAAATACTCGCCGAAGACATTGGCTAGGGGTCGCGCTAAGTCGTGAATTGGGCCATTGGATAGGGTCCCAGTGGCTCAATGGTCTACGAGCTCACTAGCCTTGCAACCAGAAGGTCCTGGGTTTGAACCCCATGGTGTGGGTGCGTACTGCTGAAGAGTCCCAAACTAGGACGAAACAGCTGTCCAGTACTCCCTTCAGGTTTTCCAGTGGTTCTCTAACTTATGTCAGCGCATGATGAAATCCTCCATGCAATCAAACGAAATCCCTACAAAACCAATACTTGAAAATTAATCTGATGCTCACTAGTGACTGGCCTATTCAGGTAGTTAACCTGGGGTTCTAGTGGGAAGCCGTGACCAGTAGGATACAGCAGGTTGAAGATGAGGCAGTAACTCATCGAAGAAGACATTGCGAAGTGGTCGCGCTATGTCGTGAATTGGCAGAAGTTAGAATTCAAGGACCATTGGATCGGGTCCCAGTGGCTCAATGGTCTACTAGCTCGCTAGCCTTGTAACCAGAAGGTCCTGGGTTCGAACCCCATGGTGTGGGTGCGTACTGCTGAATAGTCCCAAACTAGGACGAAACTGGCGTCCAGTACTGCCAGGTGGTTTTCCAATGATTCTCTAAACGATGTCAGCTCATGATGAAATCCTGTAACCAATCAATCAAATCCCTACAAATCAATCCTTGAAAACTGTATGCATTTAAATTCACTTAGGTTCATATAGATTTGCAGGGATTAACCAATGAACATTATGAAACTAAATTAATTTGTTGTTATTTTTCTTTTATTCTTTTACGTTCCCAGTGGAGCATAAGGCTTCAAGCTAGAGTTTTGAATTTTTAGTAGCAGTAATATTTATCTTCACAGGATGAGGTTGCCAGCCTCATGCCCAGCCTCCCTATTTACTGTCCCTACTACCATCTTAGCCGAGATAAAGGAGTACGTCTGCAAGGATCCGAGTCCCGAACCACGACCATGGTTCACTAGCTTTCTACTGCTGAACTACAAACGCCAGAAAGAATTAGTAACAAGAAACTGTGGGAACAAACCAACCAAGGGCCGATTGCTCAATAAATATGTGGGAGAAAATGGAGGTGGATCGGGCATGCATTGAGGAAACCGTCGTATGATATTGTGCATCAAGCCCTCGAGTGAAATTTAAATGTGAAGCGACGAGTGAGTCGTCCTAGGGTGGCATGGAGGAGACAGTGTGAAGAAGCGATGACATATTATGGGTAATCGTAGACCCAGCTAAAGAGGAGGGCAAAAAATAGAACAAAGTGGAGATGTTTAGTTGAAGCCTTATGTTCCACTCGAAACCCAAGGGATCTGTGATGTATCCTGCAAGAATCTTATATATATCGCAGCGATGGATTAACCTACATGGAGGAGGAATGAAGATTATTATAAAACAACATAGAAGGCATGAAAGGAAGACTAAAGAAGAGGAATACAAATAACCTTTTTGTACTTTGCCATCAATGTACATCACCAGGCGAAATAAACAACTCTGCAACCGTCACTTATGTTCTTGTTTCACTAATGCTATGCATATTTTTTTAAAATTGTGTGCAGTTGAAGAGAAGCCTCAAAATAAAGTGCGTACATTTTCACTACAAACTTTTATTCTTCTCATTTTGAAGAAAATGATCAAGAGAACACATGTGTACTCTTGAAAACTGCCGTTGTTTGTTTATTTCTCAAGAAATAAATAAAAATAAAGGCGATCATAATTATTGATCCAATTTTTTTTTCTGGTTAAAATTCACTTACCCGGTAATACCATTCCCAATTGTATACACTTTTGATAACGACAACGTTGACAGTGTGTACGAGTATCTTTATTAATTTCACATGTATTCGATTTTGTACATGTGTATTTACTGAAATTCTCTCCTTTAGAACTACGAATAAAAAATTTCTATAAATAAAAAGAAAGAAAGAAAGAAAGAAAGGAAAATAATCACAGTAAAGTAAACAAAATACTCAGTTTCATAATATTTATAAATTATTACAAAGATTCATTCATGTATTACCCAGTCAACTCACGTAATTAGCCAGGCTGAAATTGTAGAAGGCGAAGAAATAGTAAAGGAACGTTTAGTGAAATTATGTATACCTTATCTTCAATGCATCATTTGCACAGATCTTCGTGTTGTGGTACTTCTGAACTTCATGTTGTGTTTCACTATGTTCCTTTCACTTCTTCGATGTATCTCCACAACACAGTATCATTTGCCTTCTCTCAAATCAAATGTATCTCCCTGCTATTTGGTGTTTTTACGCCGATGAACGTGTCTTTATATATATTTTTCCTTCACATTCCCCAGTGGAACATAGGGCTTCCAGCTAGTGTCTTGAAGTTTCTGTAGCAGGGTTTAGTTTTACAGGATGGGGTTACCAGCCCATGCCCAATCTTTCCTCTTTACCAGGATTATTTCTGGCTTAGCGAGGTAGAGGAGTGAGTCGGCGGCCGGGGATCGAACCCCGGACCATGTGCATGGTCGGCGAGCGTCCTAACCGCTGTGCCATCGACGCGTCTCTTTATATACTACTGATAAATCTTATCAGTAGCCACAAGGTGGTTTCAACTGATTCAGTTGTTTCTGAGTTGACTCAAAGAGGGTACACTGTTGATGAGCTAGGCCTCAAAAGAATGAAATGGATATCTGGTGTTTATATTACTTCGACGTAGACTAGCAAATACCACTGACTAATTTAGTCAGTATCCAACCACCCATATCGACTAATCAGTAGTGCATAGCTTGATGCATTTTAAAAATTCTTTCATAATGTCTAATATTTAAAGAGTCTGAGATTCGGACGAAATAGCTTTCCGTTTAGTATTTATCCCTAAGTTTTCCATGGTTCTCTAATTCATGCCAATTTGTGTTGAGGTCTCAATTAAAATTTATCAGATTTCCACAAACTCAGACACACACACACAGTTTCATATTCAAAGATACTGTCCCTCTTGTTTTATCGAGTAACTTTAGCGGTCAGTTCAGTTAATTCAACCAGTAGTAGCATAAAAACCACTTGGAAGAAAATAAAAGAAGATTCGTTCACTTCGTAATGAAAATAAAAATTATCTTACTAAAATAGTAGTAACAGTGGTTGGAGGCAGTCAGCCAGAGAAAGCCTTGCTCGATCTAGGTTTCGTGCTAGTTGGCACTCAACAGTTAGCAAGGTTTATCTGCAGCTGTGAAGGAACTCTTCATTCCTCTTCTGAGATCCGATCCGAACTCGTGTCACACAGTGCTGCAATCACCGACGCTACTACTAATATCAACAATTCAAAGTGCATCGTGATAGGAAGCCATCTAGGATGCTGGCCATATATTGAGATGGAATTCAGTCTACACCAAATAAAGGACTAGACACACTAAACTAGCTACTAACTAGTCTCCAATCAAAGAATACAAGGGTAACAAACTGGTTAATTCAATTAAAAATTATATTAGAAAGCAACATAACTGTGGCATGTATGCCTTGACATCTCTAATATCCATGTAAGAGGAAATACAGTGAAGATGGCAATAAAATAAGCATATTAAAGTAGTATGGAACACAGTTGAATACGCTTAAATATGAGAGAATAAAATAGTGGCATTGCAAACTGTATATTCTACTCTCTACTAGACACGAACACCACTGAAAGCATATGTTGCGCTGAAATAATCAATCTTTGTCGACATATTAGTCCCCATAACGGAGGATTCGACGATTTCTGAGGATTAGCATGATGTTATTTTAGTTGATGGTGACTATCAGTGAAGAAGTCTAAGATGAACATTTCATCCCCTATTTGCTACTCGTCAGCTAGATATATATCTGCATTTGCATTGAGACTGGAACCCTGTTATCCATCGTTTCGAACTCCAAAGTTTTGGTCATGACAGCCACTTCTTATGTAATGGATATCAGTTGTTATCTGTTTTTAGATTAATTTTCATTTTGCGATGATTTATTATGTTGAACCCCAAATGCTCGATCTCTCTTGATATGAACATCCTGAATTCCAATGCTAGTTACCATTAACTAAAAAATACTAACAGTAAATACTTAAACACAAGATTAACTCATTTGTCTGAAGCTGAATCAATGAAAAGTGATTGTGATAGACTTATATAACTGTATCTGTACATTTTCGATATGAGTATTTGGTTACATGAATACAGGGTTCGAACCCCGGTGGGTGTATACTGATGAAGAGTCTCAAACTGGGACGAGACTGCTGTCCAGTACTCCCTGCAGGTTTTCAAATGGTTCTCTAACCGATGTCAGCTCATGATGAAATTCTGTAACAGAGTTTATCTGTTAGTAAATAAGGTGGATCTGCAAGTTTGAGAAGAAACACATATCTGGGATTTATGTCATCTAACTGACACACATCAGTATGATTAAATACTTGATCTGTAAACTGTCCAACAAATAATTTAATCCATTTTTTCCTTAGTAACTGACTGTCTGTCTGTCTGTCTGTTTTCGACATAGAACTTTGCACAAATGTGCGGAAGTTCAAGTCGCCACACTCCGTGTAGCACGCGAAGCAAGAGAAGAAAGTACAAGAAAAGCATAATAGAAACAGTGAGCAGATGTGTGAGACAAAGGAGTAATAAAGAAAAACAAAACAGTTTCATTGGAGATCATAAGTCACAGGGAGTGGATGCACCTGCGCCACTGAGAACGATTTTGAGCCATGTCACCAATTGTTTCCAACCATAGATTTTTATCGTCCCGAGGACCCCAACCAGGAAGCCAGTCTACACCTTCCTACGTGGCTTAGACCAACTGTTGTGGATTTCATTGACTGGTGAAGCCAAGTTTTTGTTTGACCTCCGCTAGCTTTTTTCCAGCCTGACCCTATATCCGCTAACATTGCTCGTCGAGGGAGGCGATGGCTTGCCATACGTAACACATGTCCTAACCATCTCAGTCGATGTAGCTTCACGACTTCGTCGATTGATTTCCCCTGTTTACCTAGCACTCGACCGAGGCCTTACCTCAATGTTGCTCACCTTATTATGCCACTTTACACGGGAAATAGAGCGCAGGCATCTATGGTCAAAGACAGCTAATGTTTTCATGTCTTCCACTCTCAGTGGCCAGGTCTCACAACCATAAAGGAGGACGGAGCGGACTGATGAGCAGTACACCCACCCTTTGGTCGATAGTCGAACATCTCGTCTACGCCAGAGTCGGCGTAAACTGGCAAATGCGAAACGAGCCCCTGTATTCGTGCTGAGATTTCGTCAGAGATCAACCCGTTGGGGCTGATGGTACTGACTGTGGAATCGATTTCCTAGAGTGCTAATAAGATTTCATGAATGATGACATCTGCCAAGCCGACAGTGTATGGCGATAGTGCTATATTGCGAATTGTAGGAGTTTAGCACTCATTAAGACATTGGATACTATCCTAGTGGCTGAAAGGTAGACGTGTTTGCCTTGCAGCTTAAAGGTCCTGTGTTTTACCACTGGTGGAGTTAGAGGTGCGCACCAGTGAAGAGTCACAAACTAAGACGAAACAACAGTCCAGTACCCCAGTGTTTTCAATGATTCTCTAACTGCTGATTTCGATTTGGTACGAAATCTACCTTACAATTATCACACTTTTTTGTAATACCTCAATAGCCTTGTTTAAATATACAAAGATTGACACTTAGTCCCCTGATGAAGAAACTTCAACGTCTTCAAGATTGCAATATTCTTCCTTAGCACTGAAATATGTCCAGTATGAATGTTTAATTGTGTTCAACAAATGAGAACCATCTCCCAGTTACACAGAAAGTGAAGTATTTCCTATGAATTTTGAGTTTCTGTTAATTTAATTTACACAGCTAGAAATCATATGCAGTTAGATCCCAACCCAGTGAATAAGTTGTAATATGTCTGTCTAATAATTTGACAGTTCTAGGTCCAACCCTTGTTGAATTCGTGACAGTTCACTGTTGAAGAGTCCTACGCTAGGATAAAAAAAAACACCTATGCAGTGTTCCCCTCTTTAATTGTTTCTTTAAATGATGTTACTTCTTGAAGAGATTTATCCCAAAATCAATGAGATCACCATGAATCAGACTTCTGGGTAATAGTTATTAATATCACTATTGTTACTGGTGCTACTCTCATTGTATATATTCAGATAACAGTGCTTATATAGACAAATCAGCGTATAACTGTAATGAATCTTAGATTGTAATCTAAAATTAAACTGTTGTTTGTATAAACACATAAACAGAGGAAAATCCATTCAAATAAAAGAACACTTAGAAATATGGATTGCAAAACTGCATCACAAAATTAATGATATATATATATAAATTACAACAACAGTTTAAGGTTGTAAATGTCTGGCATAAAAAAAGGTTTTTCCTATAGTTGGTTTGTAAGGATTAGTTTTGTTTTCTTACGAGTTTATCACAGATTGTTATCAGTTAGAGAACCATTGAAAACCAGAGAGAGAGTGTGTGTGCTGGACAGCTGTTTCATCCGTGATCGACTCGTAAAAAAATAAAACTAATCCTTACAAACCAAACTATAGAAAATTAATCTGATGTGCGCTAGTGACTTGCTACAGGACAGAGTTTCTCGGAGTTCTAATGAGAAGTCATGACCAGTGAAGTCCATCCAGATGTCAAGTGTGAGGATGGTTGTCGCACCGACGACACTGGTTGGTGCCAGTCGCACTAAATCATCAATTGGTAGAAGTTAGAATTCATGCACTGGCCACTGAATCGGGTCCCAGTGGTTGAATGGTATACGAGCCAGCTTGACTTGTAACCGGAAGGTCCTGGGTTCGAACTCTGGCAGTGTGTACATACTAGAGATTATTCCCAAACTCGGATCAAACAGCTGTCCAGTACTCCATGCTGGCTTTCAATGGTTCTCTATCTGATATCAATCCATGATCAACTCGTA